AAGGCCCAATGCAAAATGAAAATGTGGGGGCTCAAAGTTCAAAAGTTATTGCGAGTTTCAGGATGATAGTGGAGCATCAAACCCAATGCGAGGCCCTTCTGAGCAGGAGGCTGTGGTCTTTAGGCCACTGAAGTCAGCCCTGTCTGCCATGGATCAGTTAATTCTCTGGGAAACAGACACCGAAACCCTGAAATCTGCATGCACGAGGCTTATTGTGAAGAGCTCTTGGAAACCCATCTCTAAGGGGTGAGGAAGCAGCATTGGGCAAGGGAGAAGTGGAACCGTGATACTGTCATGGCCGAGGCCTCGGAGGATCCCTGAGGAGCCCTGGAGCGAGGTTGCCTGCGTAGAGGCAAGGGGCCTGGGCCTTACCTCCCGAAACACTTAAGACTCAACACTCATTGGACGCAGGCTTGCTGGGCGGAGGCTAGGCTTCAGGCAAGGTGGCTCTCCTCTACTAGGGTAATACCCAAAGGAGCTCGCAGGCGCAAATCATCAGCCGCCAACTCGCCGAGTAAAGCCTCTTTCAGCAAAGAGATCCCGGCGGAGCGCCACAGCATTCACTGCGTATGCCACCCGCAACAATCAATAGCGGGTATTTTCCATTCCTGAGATAGATGTTGCAGTTGATGACCTTCTAAGACCAGTGTGAAAAGGTCGCTTCAATAACACAAAACAAGGCAAACAGCAAGAAAAGAATACCAGGAAAGGTGTCAGGATCGGGTGCCACTCCTCCCCGTCGGGGCCGAAGATCCAGCACTGATTTTACAGGGAAGCTTGGGAATTGAAGTAGGTGCTTTAGAAACTTGGCAGCTTTTGTATTGTTTTTATTTTCTGTATTTATTTTCTTAAATTTTCCCTTTTCATATTGAACAGATGCCAGCATTTTCAAAATGAAATCTATTTAAAAACAAGAGGGAAAACAAAAGGCCAGTTCTTGTCCTTATTGGGCTGGAGAGGTGGGGGCCAGCATGGAGACAGGGAAGTGGCAGAGGATTTGGAAGCGTTAGAGCCCCCCAGGGCCGGGTGAACATTCGGAAAGGAGCAGGGACCCTTGTTCTCAGGCCTGGAGATCTCATCTATTCACACCACAGAGGCATCTGTGTCTTGTTTAAATGAAGGGCCCTCTGCAGGCTTATAGGGTCTATTTTAGACTCCAGTGCCAAAGCTCCTGAGATAATGGATTTAAAAGTCTTATCCGTTATGTTAATAATAATAATTAAGGCTTCTGATTATGATAAACCCATCTTTGGAAATACTCTCCACCAAATAGGCCAGATTAACACAAGTGTTTTTGAGACTCTCTAAAACACAAAATGTGTTTATGACTACCAGTGAGGAAGGAAAAGATGTTCTGAACACAAAATTCAGAAATTCATCACTGAGAAATTATTTTCTGGCTGCTTTAAAACTGCAAAATTTAAAGCTCAGTAGTTTGTGATCCTATATGTAGCAAAAATTTTAAATTTTTAGGTAAATTCAATTAGTAAATTTTCACTGCACTGAAACTAATACAGTGATAAGCATTAATTATTATAAAAATGCTTATTTTATAAATGAAAAGGTCAATAATTTTTTAATATTTCTAAATGGAGTGTATTTATAAAATGGGTTAGAGTGTATTGTTTATCTTTCAGATTTGCAGCACATTTTACCTTAATCTGAAGTTTGATTCCCTCCTTTCATCCCAATGTTTGTGGGTTGTATGTATGTAATTCTGAGTGAAGTTTCTATGTGAAGTAGGTGCTCAGAAATGGTTTTATCCTCTGGGACCATGGACTAAACTGTTTACGGGCTACAAGTTACTAAAACATACAAACAAACAAAGGGAAACAAATACCTCCCCTTCCTAAGCCTCAGAGCTATACCAAGGCCATCCTCTCAGAAGTTCTAACTTACAGGAAAGAGCCAAATCCTGAATTTCTTCCTCCATACCACCCTCTACACCCAGCAGAATCTTGATTTTATGACAGCCTCCTGAGGAAGTTCAGATCCGTTAGAACAGTATTCTGATCCGAGGAAATGTGTGTATGTGTATTTGGAAGAGGCACAAGGAAACCCTTACATTCATTTTACCCCCCCACCCCACTGGCTTCCAAGGGCCTCCTGAGAACCCCTCAAGCCATTGAGTATTGAAAAGTGCCTTCCTAAATACTGCCTGACTTGCACAGGACTGTTGTCAGGATCAAAATGGGATTCTGCCATGAAAACAAAGAAGGATTCCAAGGACTAACAGATGCTTCTCTTGTTCATAATGCTTTGTACAATTCCAAACAAGTAAACCAACAATAAAATTAGTATCCTTCAACAAGACTAATATCTGCATGAAGATAAAATACATGCCTTTTCTCTCTACCTTTGTACAGTTAGAGCCTTAGTAAATATTCGTTGACTGTAAAAGAACATAGTTTACTCTCCCAGCATACACAGTAAAGTGTATGTTTGAGCCCCAGGGGAGCTCTCAGTGATTAAGCTGGAAGGTCTTCCAAAGGTTCATCCATAAAATGTATAACAGTCAACATTTATTGAGTGTTCCACCAGGCAGCACGATTCTAAGTGCTTTACATGCTTGTAATACCTATGAGGGATATCTTATTATCACACTCCCTTTTAGATGGGAAAATTGAGATGTTAAGTAACTTGCCGGAAGTCATATGGCCAATGAGTGTCAGAGCTTGGTTTCAAATAAACAGGAAGGTCTTGCATCAAAGCCTAGGTTCTCAACCACTAAACCTCAGCAGAATAAAAGCAGATGCTGGTCACTGGTTACTGGAGCCCATTTCCTTTGTCAGGGTCCTGTGTTCAACCCAGACAAAACCAGATGAACTCTTGGTTCCAACTCCGTTCAACCAGCCAACTCTAGCCTTTTGAAAATGCAAAAATGGAGGCTCCAATGTGTAAATTGTCTTGCAATACTTTGTTAGGCATCTAGCTGAGGTAGGTGTGGTACCACTGCAGTCAGTGAACTATTTAGTTCTAAATCATCACAGTGTCTCAGCTTCGGGATCTAAATATGTTTGGGGAAGTGACTGAATGTCTTGAATTTGATTTAGTTCTTCTGGAAACTACCACGCCTGCTTGGTATACAAAACACAAGCTTCCCAGTCCTATTTGTAGCTAGATGCAGGATTTTACTGATCATGGCAGAAGATTCACATGGGGCATGTGTTAAACTTTGCAAATTTGCCAGGTTCCATTCTCAGATTCAAGTTCAGGAAGCCTGAGGTTTTTAGCCTCTTTAGCTAGCAAACCAAGTGGTTCTAGTATCAGAAAGACACTGCCCTGAATTTGGAAGGGATACTTCTTATCTGCCTGAGGCTTGGCTAAATAGAATGAACTTGTGTGTTTTCTTTTCAAAGAAACCAGGACAAATCTCCTTATCCCTCCCTGGCCTGAAGCAGCCCCTCTGGTGGTCAGAGCACACAGCTCCCTGTGTGGCTCAGCCCCCTTCTTCTTGGTTTGGTTGGGTTCCTGGGAAAGGCCACACCACTGAGAGGGAGCCCCACAGCATCCTGCGCCCAGCCTTCACTCAACCTGCATGCATGCCAGATTTGACTGCATCCAGGCCACCAAGATACACAGACAAGCTGGGATTCAGTTTGCAAGGCCCAATTTCCATCCCCCGCTGGTGTCAACAAGTCACTGCAATCATAACCTTCTGGGTTCCTTCAGAGGAAGCCAGTTATCTGCTAGACTTCCTTTGTTCTTCAGGGCTTTATCTTGGCATCTCTGCCAAGGACATGTTTTGGCTGGATCCACTACCCTGGCCTCTGCACATCTCTGGGAAGCTGAGCTAAGAGAAACATGGCCTAGGAGGTAGAAGGGGAGTGAGGTTGAATGCAGGACTGTACAAGGGAAATGTTCTCCCAGGATCAGGTGCTCATTGGACCAATGACGAGCATCTTCCCAAGACTGCCATGAGCCCCTCAAACTTTTCAGAGACTGGACTGCTGCTCCTCCAGAGCAAGGACATGCCAGCCTTCTTGGGATCCCTTTCTGTATAATCAGAGTGGAGGTAAGGATAGGGATTTTGTCGTCTCTGTTAAAGAGGGTCAATGTACAATGCCATCTGCACTGGTTTGGGTTTTGCAGTGGGAGCTGAAACTCACGGACCATGGTATTCACTGATAATGAATAGCTGTGGTGAAAGTGGCTGCTCCCCCAAGCGCTTGTACAGCATAATCAATCATGTGCAACTCTGCTGCTGCCACATCTACTCAGAAAAGTCCTGCACATCATTTTAAGCCCAGTTCAAATCTCTCTCCTCTCAGATTCCCTCCTCTGACTTCTAAAGGCTCCTTCAGCAAGTGGTGATTATCACATGGCTTATTCAGATATTTTATATGGGGTGATAGCTCCCCAATATCTTGCAGAGAGGAGAAAGAGTGTCTCTTTCACCTATACATTCACCATAGCATCCAAAAATTGAGGCTTACATATAGTAGGTGTTCAATAAAAGTTACATTAATAACAACCTTGTGTAGAGGAAAATAGACTCAGTCATGTGGACTATAATATTTAACATTTATTTACTGGCAGAGATTGAAGTGAAAAAGGAATTGGTCAGATTGTTTAATTTGGAGCCCTTTTAAATACATACTAAGTGAAACATCCACTGAAACAATAACCTGGTTTAATTATATGAACTTTGACTCTGTGATAATTGATTATCCTTAAAACCATCCTGGATTTGTTTCCCTACAGAAAAGCAGGGCACTGAGCACAGTTCTGTGAAACATTCCTTTAAAGAGATTTCTCAGCACTAAATAAAAGAGTGGCTTCTTAATGTTGCAAAAGGGGTCCAGCTGTTCATTTGGCCAGAGACAAGAACTGAGCTGGCTCTAAATGGAGATGGCAGGAAAAGATAAACATGGCTGTATGATGTCATTGAAATGGGCTTATTTTTGTCAGAAGCCAAATTCAAATACCCTCAGGAAAATAGGTTGTTTGTTTTGCTTTGAATTACTACAGTTTTCTAAAATTCATTTTTGCCTCTGTAGGTGATGGAATTTTCCAGTGGACTCCAAGTTCCATGGAGAGAGGCATGGAAACCTGTACTCTTCTGGGTGCCTGGAAAGAGTGCTCACTAGAACCTCCACTAACCTCTTCTGAAGGCAGAGGCATCCCTTCTGGAGGAATGTAGTCCACAGGGAGCATGGCTTGGCTAATGGTCAGTGTCTTTGGTGAATATAGCTCTGGGTCAGGTATACAGTTTAGGAAGGGGCGTATGGGCTGAATTCTAGCTCCACTGGTCCCCTCTTGTTTAATACAACTGACCTCCACTGTGCCAGGCAGCCCTGAAACCTTGGATAATAGCCCTTACTCCTCCTACAGCCCCTATCCTTCAGGAGGGCACAGGAGAACATATTATTGGCAACTGGAGACTCTCTTAGAACAAAGCACGGTGTAAAGGGTATTGAATACTCACTATGTGCTAAGCACTTTGGGGAATATGCAAGCATTTATTGAATCAATGAAAAAGAAAATGAGAGAACAAGTCTCTATTCGTGGCAATACTGGATGGGGCTCAAAACACATCCCTAGGAAGGGATGGAAGCAGAGAAGCTAAACACCATCTGATCATACAAAAAATAACTTTCCTGCTAGTACAAAGAGTAGGAATGTTTTTATTCCTGATTTTTCCATTCAATCCTAATGTCTTAGATTAAATACTAATTGCCCCATTTTCCAGCTAGAAGAAAAAGCCCTTAATCTTTAAAATTTGGATCTCAATGTGGATTTGTGTCTGTAAGCATGATGTGGCACCAGATCCCACCAGAAATCCTACGTCATTTTCTTTCCTTACTCGGCATCCCAGATCATCCTGAAATGGAAATCTTTCTATGAGAACAGAACGGAGGATGCAAATATATGCCTGAGGAATTCATTTTAAAATAGTTTTGAAAAAATGTTAAGAATCCTTTCTCTGTCATGTCACTTTCCAAGCTTTAGGGCCTACCATGGGAGGCAGGGTTAAGACAACTCCCCTCCAAGTCAGTATGTTCTGACATCTTCAAGCTTGAACCTTCCTGTATTATTATTTAACCAGGAATAAGCTAATGCAATCTTTCACTATAATTTGCTAAGTTACCCACAGATAGTTTACGACAGGCTTTCTCAACCTCAACTCTATGGAGATTTGGGGTGAGATAATTCTTTTTGTGTGTGGGGAAGTGGCAGTCCTGTACGTTGTCAAAAGTTTAGCAGCATCCTTGACCTCTACTCATTAGATGACAGTAGCACATCTCCTTCCTTAGCTATAACAACCAAAAATGTCTCCAGACATTGCCAAACACCCCTGATTGAGAAACACTGATTTAGAGTAGCACTACTTCTCAAAGTTCAGTCAGACACAAGGAGCCAGCCAGCATCTGAAAGTCAACAGAGAACAACTCTACCTGCTGCTGTGATGACAAGGACTTAGGACAAGTGAGTTGAAATGCTCTCATTTGTCCAGGTCCAGTAAATTAAGGTACTGAGCAAATAGTTTACTACAAATAAGAAGTGATTTGGTGTACCATCACTGCCCAACGCTAAGATCTTGCTGATTCTTTTTGACCAGACAAAGATTTTTTTGAATATAATATATTTTTACAGTGTATCTGTCTATCAGTAGCTTTAGCAACAAATGACAAAAGCCCAGTTCAAAGTGGCTTAAGCAAAAAAGAGAAGCTTTCTATTGGGTCATATAACAGAAAATTTAGGGATAGAATTGCCTTTAAATACATGTGGATCAAGGTATTAAAATAATGACACCAGTAATATTTTACTTTCTTCTTTGGGTTATATTTTTCTCTATGTTGGCCTTATTTTCAAGATGCTTTCCCTAGACAGTGACAGAGCCAGCCACTGAAGGTCCAGGCTGATACCCTACAAACTCCAGTGGAGAGATAATGTCTCTTTTCCAAGAGTTCTGGCCAAAATTCCAAGGTTAAGTCTCATTGACCTGACTTGGATCAGGTATCCATCCATGAGCCAATCATTGCAGCCAGAGAAATGGAACACTCCAGATAATTTCCCGGGCTTGTCAGCACAGCCTGTGGTAGACGGCCTCTAAGATGGCCTCCACTGGTTCCTGTCTCCTGGTTTTCCTGACCTCATGTATTCTCCCCTTCTTGAGTATAGGCTGGACTCACTTCTAATGAATAGAATTCAGCAAAAGTGATGTTATCATTTCCGAGATTATGCTACAAAAAGACTGCGACTTCTGCCTCACTCATCCTGCCATACTGTGAACTGCTCTATGAAGAGAGCTACGTAGCAAGAAATTGATGGCTCTGTCCAAGGACAGCAAGAACTCAACACCTGTCAACTGCCATGTGGGTGAGCTTAGGAGATCTCCCCTCATTTGAGCCTTAAGATGATTTCAACACTAACTAACACCTTATAGCATTTTCGTGAGAAATCTTAAGGGCAAGACAGACAGAAAGGCTACACTCAAATTCCTGACCCATAGAAGCTACCAGATATTGTTGGTTGTTTTACGCCATTAAGTTAGGTTGTTTGTTATACAGCAATAGATAACTAACACACACACATAACACCCCCAGGAATACAAGATTGGGAGCTTTTCACCAAACACCATGGCCTGAGATTGGGTGAGACATAGCTCAAAGGAATTCTGGTGCTCAAAAACACTACTCATTATAACATCCAATTTAGGCTGTTTTCACTGAACATATAAGTTTCAAAATATAAAAAGAAGGCGGAAAATTGGCAGACTTTCATATGAGTATCAATAATCAATTTGTAATGACCTAGTTTACCAGAGGCTTTGTAAAACCACATGTCCTGGGGGCAGTAGGGGGAGCCCAGTGTTGACAGTTGTTTTTTTCCTTTATTCACCCTAGAGATGGAAACTACTGGAGACCAAGTTTAAGTGGAACTTTTCTATTGCTTTAGATCTGTCTGCTCTGAATTTTTAGTTTCCATTATTACATAAGCCCTAAAGTCTCCTTGTTGACAAAGACAGTTTATGTTCTCTTCCCATTAAACAGGAAAATTAAACAGCCTAAGAAGCTGAAATATCGATGAATCTTTTGCCACAGTATCATAAATTTGTAGTTCCATTTTGAAATTTTGACATTGAGATCTTGATTAGAATTTTCTCCCAAAGTGTCCTGGAAGCACTAAAATAAGGTACTTGTAAGACTCTAAATTGCCTCAGGTGCTCCAGAACACACACTATACAGGACAGAATTCCTGTTTTCTTACTTCCATGTCCTGATTTACCGTGTCTGGCTCATGCTAAATATATTTGGAAAAATAAAACCCCTCTCCAGCATTTGATCACAATAAGAATGAAAGTTAATTAAAGTCCTAAGAAGACAATTACCTGCTAATGATAACCCACTGGAGCCCAAGTCTCTTTGAATTGTGCATGATGAAAAGTCACAGTGGTGAGAGCTGAGGAAGTGAGTTGAATACTGAGAGAACTCAACGTCAAGAGTACCATTACTTAGGGCCATTTGAAGTGCATTTTTTATGTCGCTTCTCCAGAATGTGGTATTTGATTGATAGTATAGAGCATGATCAATTTATTTTTAGATAGTTTGATCTAGTAAGATGCTGAGCATGATGCTGATGGACTTAGTTTATGTGTGTTTTCAGATTAATAGCTGCTCAATGAGCTATTGGATATCTGTGATCCTTCCATTAACATTGAGATACTCACTAACCACATTTCTTTGTAATGAACTGAGCACACTTCTAAAGATCTGTCTATTCATAGCTAAGGTAAAAACTTCCTGTTCTGTTCCTATGACCTAACTTTAGTCAAGTCGTGGAGAAGAAGAAAGCTGTATCAAATGAGATCTTTGAAGAGCCAAGGTTTCCATCCAAGGCCAAATTAAGAAAGAGTTTTACTTGTCTTTCTCTGCATACTTCTCAAAAAAAAAAGCTTCAAAATTTTTTTTAAGTTTTTTTTCTTAATTTGCATTGATCTGTATTTCCCACGACCATCAGAATTTCACTAATGGCAACAGGATAGTATTTCTGTAACCCTGACCCACTCACATTTTTGAGGCATCTAGCTCCCTTAAAATTCTCCCAAGTAGCTGAGGAGTTCCTGGATGTATTAAGTGAGTGTGGGATTGGAGATGACTTGACTATTTGAATAGAAAGTACCATTCCCTTCTGCAAGTTCCTGTAGGTGCAGCATGTGACCTGCTGGTTCCTTCTCTTCTGTTTTGGAGACTGCTGCCTCTCAGAGTCAGATCTAGGACAGAGCCCACCTGCCTCATTCCAACATCTCCCGTGTCACATGCTCCAGCAGTCCCCTCACTGAAGTGCAGCAGTGTCTTCTGCTTTCAAGCTCCTATAGAGACAAGTGAAAAGGCTACTGGCTTTTTAGTTTTACTACTTCATCTCCCTAGGATTCTGGCCCAGGAAAAAGAGCAAATCCCAAAAGTTGTAATTGAGCTCTCTCCTGATGCTGGCCTCCCATCCTTGAGCCAAGTTTGTGTAGAGGACCCTCTCTACCCTAAAAGGTGAGTCTTGCCACCCTAATGGACATCCAGACTTGTCTGAAAACCTAAGATACATAGTTTAGGCCCTCAAGTTTAGACATCCCAAGTTCTCACACCAGGAGGTAAACACTGTAGATGTGAGTTAAGTAAGACTGAGCCCACATGTGAAACATACCACAATGTGTTTGGGGGTTCCAAAATAATTTTCTTATATTTATCTTAATGAAAGTAAATTCAAGAAACAATTAGTATTGACTATGGCATGTAAGCAAATGAATTAAAGAATTTAATACTTATTTTTCTCTGCTTCAAAAGTGACCTAACTTTAAAGCATTTTGGCTTTAAGAAGAATGAAGAATCAGACTCTGAAATTAAACCATCACTTAAAAGCTACATTAAATTGGCAGGGGTGGGGGTATAGCTCAGTGGTAGAGTTTCTGCTTAGCATGCATAAGGTTCTGGATTCAATCCCCAGTATCTCCACTAAAAATAAATAAATAAATAAACCTAGTTACCTCTAAAAAATAAAAATAAAAAATAATTAAAAAAATTTTTTTAAAAAGAAGCTATGTTAAATTCACCCTATCAATCTCTCAGAGCATCAGTTTCCTAATTTACAAAATGGAGATCACACAGCTGTTACCCATTGTATTATTACAGGATTAAATGAGCTAATGAATATAAACAGAGCACAGTACCTGGCATAGAGTAAGCACCCAGCCAAGCTTTTAGCCACTATGTGTATGGCTCGTGCATGGACACCAAAATTTCTTTATATTATTATACAGATTCTCAAAAGCATTTTCATAGCTCCACTAGACAGTGGTGAAAGCATTTATGAAAAGGCTGGTTGCTATTTTAGAAAACCGACCTCAAATCTTGATGAAGAGTGACATTTCTAATTTTTCCTGCTACTATGTAAATAGCACAAAATTCTCACAAATAAATAGCATCATTTTTTATAAACAGATTCCTAGCTTGCTCTGCAGCAGAGGGCAGCTCCTCACAAATTCTTTTGCGAATGTGCTGGCTTGTCCCAGAATCGATCCATGCTGAGTCTACTATTCAGACCAGATTACTACCAGGCAGTTGGAATGGTCAAATTCCCACAGCCAATTTTCTATAAAAAATCCCAAGTAATTGAAATGGGAGGAGGGTACCCAGTAAAAGTCAGTGTGAATAATTTAGCACAGTAGCTGTCTGCAGCCTCTGAGGCAACAAATTCAAGACGTTTTATTAGAGGGTTGATGAAGCCACTATTGTCTCCAGAGCCTCCTGGCTGCAACCCACCCATCTCATCAGGAAAAAGCAGAGTGGGGAAACAAGCAGCCTGCGGGATCTAGGATTAACCCTTCTCTGATGCTGCAGTGATCCTGTGAATGCCAAATGTGAGCAGTGTAATTGCACATGACATCTTTCTAAAGGTCATTGTTGAGAAGCATCATGACTGGCTGCAGCGGTCACTAAACAGAGGCCCTGTGTCCCTCCCCAGCTATGTTGATCTCTCAAGGGGTGAACACATCTGCTAGGGATAAGGATAGGCTGGTTGCTGTTTTAGAAAACTAGCCTCAAATCTCAATTGACATATCTCATTTTTTCCTGCCCCTGGGTAACTGGAACAAAATTCTCACAAATAAATGCCCTCTATCCCTAGTCAGGACTAGTCAGAAGCTGGGGACACAAATGGCAGAAACCCAACTCAAATTAAATTCAGTAAAAAGGAAACTTGTTGACCCATGCCACTGTATAAGAATAGAAAGTTACTCACAGGATTGAATGAAGCTCTAGATTACAATGAAGTTCACTAGAAATCAATGACTCAGGTCAGAGTCTCTGTATCTCAAGGGCCCTGTGGTCAGAGGGGTAGAAGTGGACATCCAACACCAGAAAAAGGTGTTTGGAATAATGTGATGAGCTATCAAATTAAAATGAGAGATTCTGAACATCCTGTGAGCTATTCCAGTTACCTACATGTTCATAAAAACCATCTAAAGAGTTTACTGGTATAAAACCCTGTGGCCAGCTGTTGTGGATTGAATTGTGTCCCACTCCCCCAAAGTTCATATTTGAGGCTTTGACTTTCTCTAACCTTCTGAGTTCTTAGCCAAGACCCCTATAATAAAAGATAGATTAAAAAGAGAAGAAACAAACAAGTTTATTAACTTGTATACATCGTGTATATGGGTGAGATACCTTGTGAAAAAGGAGTAACTCTCCGAGGTGGCTTTAAACTCTAGCTCAAACTTCAGCTAAAGACGAAAGAAAGGTGTGGGAGGAGTCCAGTTCTAGGGGGTTACCTGGAAAAGGAAGGTAAACAGTACGGTTTGTTATACAGATTTAAACAAGTACCTTCTCCATTGATAACGTTCTCTTGCGCGTCAGAGTCATCCTTCTCTTCCTAATAGAGACACCCTTACAATGGAGAGTTCCTTTATAAATACAAATGTTTCTTACAAAAGGGTAATTTCTATTTCTTCTGTGTCTGCTGTTTCTCAGAATAATCAGCTCAAAATAATCCTTATGCCAAGGAGGCATATTCTGCTACCCTTCAATATTTTTACCCCTGGCTCTTTTCCTGCAAGGCCATCCCTGGCTGATTGTATCCCTCAATCGAAGATTGCATCTTCTCTCAAAGCAGTTTGCTCCTACATGACTCTCTTCTCCCCTCAAAGCCTCAGGCCCAGGGTTGGAAACAGTTCTTCTGGTCGCAGCCCTGGGCCACTGCACTATCTCTTCCGCTTCTTCTATGCCCACATTCCTGCAAATAGTCACTCTAAAATAAACCCTTTCCAAATCATCCAAATTTGAATGTGACATCTGCTTCTCAGACTGATAGAGCTCTCTACAAAACAGAGGCGGGAAGCTGAAAGACAAAGCCTCCTTTTCCCCTCCACCTGAAAAAAGGATCACAGATAGTATCCAAAGTACACTGGGCCCTAACACATAAAGTCCAAGTCAGATGAGATTTTTTTTTCTTAATGTGCTGTCTGTCATTAGAAATCACCTGCTTAAATAATAATGTAGGTATTTTTATTGACTTTAGGGGTCTTTTTCATCTTTGCTTTCTAATTATACTTACAGCTTAGAGTCTGTGGCCACAGTATTAGGGTCAGCTTATTAGTTGAAACCTGCCTTTGTCCATGATTTTGACTGCTCAGGATTTCTACCTGTGTTGTGGTCAACAGCATGTCATGTTTTTGTTTTTTCAAAGTTTTTTCAGAGCTCAATATCTGAAAAGTATGACAAAGTTTAAACATTTGAGGTTCTTGGAGTTCCCTTTCCTTTTGCCAGTGACCTCAGCTCCTTCTCTCATTTCACCAGCTTCACGTTTAATAATTCTCTACTCCGAAGGCAGATTGCCCATTTATTTAACGTCTACCGTCCACCAGGCATTGCACATTATTTTCATTCTGAAAGCAACTCTATGAGGCAGATCTAATTATCCCATTTTTATAATCAAGGAGACAGGCTCTGGAAGGTGATCTATCCAATATGACCCAACCGGTGAGTGGCACAAGATGGGAAGGAAGGCATTAGGTCTCAGTGATCCCCAAGAGCGTGATCCACGCCACCTGGGATCCTGCTGCTGCCTGCTGCCCTTTGATCTGCTGCCCTTTGACCTGCTTACTCTTCCCGCCATGTGCCTTCACCTGGGTCTGTAATACTCAGCCTGGAATGCCGTTCCCACTGTGATCCTCCCTAGCCCTTGACTCAGACCTCACCTCCAACGTTTCTTCCATGGCTCACTTCACCCAACTGTGGGGCACGGCTGCTGACAGGTTACTAAACAGAGATATGAACAAATGCTTTCCAGAATTTCACTTAGAGATGGAAGCATCTCAGTTGTGGGCTGTTTCCATCTCCTGAGCTAGAACTTCGTTTCTTTCTTTCTTTCTTTCCTTCCTTTTATGTTGTGTTAATTTCTGGTGGGTTCACAGCATAGTGATTCATTTATAAAATATATATATATATATATATACACACACACATACATATATATATTTCTTTTCATATTCTTTTTTCATTATAGGCCATTACAAGGTATTGAATATAGTTCCCTGTACTATACAGAAGAAACTTGGCGTTTATCTATTTTATACATGGTAGTTAATATCTACAAATCCCAAGCTTCCAATTTAGAACTTCTGTTTCTTGAGGCTGAAACATATTTTTCTACTTCTTTGGCACCCTCATCTGACCGTTCCCACAGTCTATTTCAGTTCTCAGCACAGAGGACATCCTCAACAGATGCCACTGACTGACCAGGAGAATTAAAACACTGGAAATTTCGAAAAGTTTTGCTTGTGAAGGGGAAGTACACCATTCCTCCCCTGCTTTTCAAAGAAATATTTTCTAAAGAATACTGTATTTTCCCTTGTGATATTTTCCCTTGTGATTTCCCTGAGGAACTAAGCAGGAGATGTCAGAACTGTTGGTGGACAGATTTATTTGCACTCAGTGCTCTACTCTGTCTGTCGTGCCTGTATGAATTTTAAAGGAAAAAAGAGAAATTTTTAGGTCAAGAATTCATCTGTTGAAAGACTCTGTGCTAGAGCCTACGGGGAGGAGAGGCCTTGTGGCTTCATCAAGAGTCAGAACACTGCTTGTGCCTCACCACTGACTTTCTTAGAATGGGGGCTTTGGCAGGGTTGTTTACTCTGATTCTATGCCTCAATATTTAAACCTCAAAATGAAGAGAGCTCCTTCTTGTCTAACGACATGGGGTGCAGGGCAAAAGGAGTCTGCAACTCAAAGATAAAACCAGCTTAATGTAATTTGAGGGGCCCTAGAGAGACTTCCCAGCCCCCAAACATCTCCCTTTGGCTTGCTCCTGGATAGAAAAAGAAACCTCACATTTATCTCATCTTCTGTTAGGCAGTGAGGGCCTGGTTAAAAATACAGATCTATTATCTAGGAAGATACGATACTATTTTGCCTTTATTCTAAGATGTGCATTTCACCCACATTTTAATATTTCCAAATTGAGATGCATTTTTACAGTCAGTGTGACTCTTTAATGCAGTAGTGCTTCTTTATTTCCCTTTAATAGTTGCTAAGTTCATCTTTATTAAATAGATAAGAACCTCTGAAAAACCTGTTAAAAATTGAGACGCCTGGATCCCATAGGGACAAGTGCCGATTCAGGAGGTCTCAAATGTGATGAGGAATTTGCATTTGCAACAAGCATCCAGGGTGATTCTGAGCAGGTAGCCCTGCTTCAAGAGTACCCCAGTAATTTATTTGCTTAGTTCAGAGATTATGGTCTTTATGGGTCTTAGTTGTGAGTTTGTAAGGTGTGTCCTTAGAGGCTGCTTGGGTCCTCAGTCACTGGGTCTGCAGTTCAGGACCAGACAATGGGGAGAGAGCTCCCCTTCAATCATGGGTCCTGCATTTTCTCAGTTCCATTATGTTCTGCCATTTTTCCCTGAAATGCTCGTATTTTAGCATCTAAACTTCATCTCCCAGATGACTTTCACTTTCCAAGATTTCACAGTATTTATGTAGATTAGTAAGTTTCTGCCCTTGAGAAACTCACACTAGAATCAGCAGATCTTGCAAACTGACCTGAGCAAGATTACTGATGCTTAAATGGGAGCCACAGGAATCAGCAGTGTCAGCTACTCTCCTCTACAACTGTGTTACTCAGTTATGATCAAAGTAAGCCACCGGCCAAATTTGGCTACACCTACAGACACTTATTAAAAAGGAGAGTATATAACCTTGCATGCAAGTTTCTCTCAAAACAATTGCCAGGATTCCAGAGGTAGGATTCTGTTCCCAGCAGAGTCAGAATGGGGCAACCAGAATCCTTGAGTTCATGGCTAGACCCAAGGCCAAGTAAAGGCTTACCTTAGGCATCATCCTAAGGATACAGGTTATAATTCTAGCTGAACATGTATATCCTATTCGTGCAAGAGTAGAGGGTCTAATGCACTTCTTTTGAATATCTTTATATTCACCAAGGAGATCTCACTTCTGACTTTCATCATGTTGATCAGTTTCACCAACAAAAAAAAAAGTTCTGACACAAACTATGCTAATTGGCAAAGTACTCATATTGATGGAGATGTGAATAACAGAAGTTCTTTGCCTCCGATTATGCATTCTTGATTAGAGTCCAGAAACTTTTGGTTAGAGCCTAAACTGGGTGATAAACACATAAAATAGCACTGTATATTCAGAAGTATTTAAAAATAAATAACAGCTCTCTTAAGATGGCATGAGTCTCCCACACACATTGTGGTACAAGGCAATAATGCCTCTGGCAAAATTATGAAACCAGGCTCTGAGGACAGAGACAAGGGAGTGACTAATTCTGGTAGATGGGAAATGAAGGGGTAAGGACCACAATATGCTCACAGAGGAGATGTCCCAAACTGAGTTTATTTAAATGAGTAGGAATGTGTCAGTTAAGCAGACTCGGGGTACACCCAGCAAAGGGAAACAGTGAGGGCCCAGCACGGAGTCTAGAGAAGCTACACACCTCCCTAGGGGTGGGTAGACTGATGAGCACATGATGATGAAGGGGGAGATGGACTAGAACTAGCCAGGAAATAGACAACAAAGAACCTTCAAGTTCCTGCTCCACGGCTTGCTCTTTACCAGGTAGGCAACCAGAAGTGAGACAGCAATCTCTTCCCTACTCCAACTTTGGGTCAGAACATGGATCATCATACTGTGAGACCAACATAGATCCAGCCTGGGCCAGGCTTCTTCCCAAGCCTTTCTGACTAAAATCCCAGAGCCCTGAATATCTACTCCATCCACACTGGGGTTTTTTTCCCATAAAAATCCAAGTAGAAAGGCCATGGTCCCTAGAGTCATTTACTGGTTGGATGAAAGGGTGACTTGGACAAATTTCTTTACCTCTCTGACCCGAGTGTCCTCATCTGTAAAACGGGGATAATTACTTCCTTCTAAGGATTGTTATAAAGGTCACAACAGTGCCTGGTAGAGGGGAAATGCTCAACTAATTTTATTTTTAGTGTCTGTGTCTTTTAAATCTTTATCATTATTTTTCCTTGTTTATGAATTCTTAGAAAGAATAAGATCTATGTTATACAAGTAGTATTTTATCTATCTATAGCTAGAGATTACCATTCACTGACCTTGTGACATAAATCGTATTCTAAACCCTTAAAAATCTGAAAGTTTACCCCTGAGGCTACTGACCCAGCTAAATTCCATAAATCTCTCTTATCTGTCAGCTGGTCTTATCAGGGTTAGGCTCTCTTGTTTCCAGAAAAAACAACAAGGACTATTTTCTATTTCTAGTCCCAGACGCAACAAGAAAATCACCGATACCAGCTCTAAAGCTTTTTCCTTCCTGTTTTGCGTCTGTTCATACATGTAACAGCTCTAAACTTTGAGAATCATGATGGCCGGTGGGCTGGCAGGGCTGCCTTTCACTGCCTGAGTTAGAACAAGGTTTAACCTAAATGCCCTTGGCAACTTTTCTTGCAGGAGAATCACCTTTTTCAAAGGAAACCTCGTTAGCCCTAACAGGATTCTCAGTGAAGTCCCTACCAGGAAGTTCCTCCATACACATTCTCCTCTCATACAGCCCCTCCTCTCAGAAAAACAAACTCGGGTTAATGAAACAGAGCTATGTCCTTTTCTCTTACTGATCTGATTCTGAGCAGGATTTTAAACACTTTCTTGCTCTCTTTAAAGAGATTGACACTTTAATCCAGAGCTGCAAGCTGCAACCACTAGCACTTTGAATCAAATTTAAATTCTTATAGGCAGGTTTTCTGCTGATCCTCAATTTACCATTGGCCCTCCCAAGCCGCCCAATTGTGGCACAGCCCCTACATCACACACCATTACCCGCCTGCCCTTGAAGGCATCAGGGTAAACCCCATCCCAGGCACCAGTCATTATAACCATTGCCACACTACAGGCAGCTTACCCCACTAACTAGCCACTTGGCAAAACCAGGATTGTTCACCCCATAATGGGAGTTTTGTTGTGGGATGAGACGATGAGGGGGAAGAGCAAAGTTCTCTGACTATAGCCTGGATTAGGAGCCCTGGGGTAGGGAAGCTGGTGGCTAGGGGCCTGCGTAATGCTGCTGTGTGGAATGTCACTGAGTGGGCAAAATGATGACAGATTGCTTCCACCACCTTCCCCATAGTCAGTGCGGGCCCTGGTGAAAACTGCAACAAAGGCAGCCTTTGTTACAGCCAGTGTCCAGGGACAGGAGAAGGAAGAGGGACCATGGCACCGTGTCATGTGGGAAAGTTTCATGAATTAATTGATGACTGTCTATGTAAGGATACCATCTACAATTCAGTCATTCTCAAATTTTTTCAGTGAAATGTTCCCTAATCATAGAGGAAAGTAGGTATATACGTACATATGGACAACAGTCTAGTGTGCAGCCAAGCAGCCATCTGAAAGCTGAAATACCTGTAAAATGTATATAAATACTCCATTATATTCCATAATACAACTGTTTATTGTGACATAACAGTGTAATTTTCAACTTTAAAAATTTTAGATAAAATTGTGTGAAAAGCTAAGTAGTTTGAGCAAAATTGACCTCCGGGATGACAGTTGCTCCATGGCTCATACATACATCCCTGGTCCCTAGCACTCCATTGTGAAAAGCATAGCTCTACATTTTTCTACAGCCTTCAAATTAAATCTTTCTTTAAAAAAAAAAAAATCCAAACTCCTTGAGTCTTTGCTCATACTCCTCCTTCCATGTAGGACATTTTTTTAGCCTTTCTCCCCATGAATTTCTCTCTACCTATGGCTTAAGTCCCAAGTAAAATGCTACCTCCATAAATCCATCTCAAGTTTTCTGAGTCAGAATGTATTTCCTCCTTCTCTGTATTCTTAAACCTGCCTCTATTTCAGTCGTTATCCTCCTGCTTAAGTGCATAAGTAACTCTAAGGGAGAATGCGCATACATGCCTAAGAGCTTAGAAACACAATGGTTGCTTCCATCTCCTAGGTATGCTTTTCCCTCTGATTGCCCACTTCGTGCTTATTCTTGATGCTCAGATCTTAGCTGGGATGGCACCTCCTCAGGAAGGCCATCTGTGACCACCCAGACTAACATCCATACCCAGTCATCTCTTGCCCTTCTTATCAGCATGACATTTTTTGTTTCTTTGTTAGTTTATTTATTGTGGTAAAATAGACAATATAAAATTTACCATTTCAACCATTTTTAAGTACACAATTCAGTGGCATTAAGCACATTCACAGCATTGCACAAGAATCCCCACTATCCATTTCCAGGACTTTTTATCTTCCCAAACTGAATCTCTCTACTCATTAAACAGTAGCTCTCCATTACCCCTCCCTCCAGCCCCTGGTAGCCTCTATTACACATTCTGTCTCTATGAATTTTCATATTCTAGGTATCTCATATAAAGTGAAATTATATAATATTTGTCCTTTTGTGTCTGGCTCATTTCACTTAGCAGAGTGTTTTCAAGGTTCATCCATGTTGTAGCCTGTGTCAGAACTTCATTTCTTTTTAAGACTGAATTATATTTCATTGTATATCTATACTACATTTGGTTTATCCACTCATGCATCAAAAGACACTGTGTTGTTTCCACCTTTTTGCTATTGTGAATAATGCTGCTATGAAAACAGGTACATAAATATCTGTTTTAATCTCTACTTTCATTCTTTGGGGTGTAGACCTAGAAGTGGAATCGCTGGATCATGTGGTAATTTTATGTTTAACTTTTTGAGAATCCACCATACTGTAAGCATGGCGTTTTTAAAATGCATGTTTGTCTGCTCCACTGGAATGAAACCTCCATTAAGACCAGGGGCCCCGCATCTGGCTTTTCCCTCCTGCATCCCCAGCACCTAGAATAATATCTGGTGCACAATGGACACTTAGAATTTTTGTTAGGTGAATGAATGAATTAGATCCTCAGCAATTGTTAGTGTTCTTTCTCTTCTCTGCTCTATTCTCCCTAAATCTGTTGCAAACTCCCTGAGGGCAGGGCTAGGTCTTATTCATCTGTGTAACTCCAGCACTTAACACATTGAAGGCACCCATTAAATGCTTGTAGAGTTGAAATAAATTCCCATTCTTGCTTGTAGTTCTTCCCGCTTGAGTTCTGTAGATTCGGCCTGATGATTATGGATTAGTAAGAATGGAGGGCTTTTCTTTGACTTTCCAGGGAGCAAAGAAAAGACCAAATGAGGCCCACACACCAGTCCGCCTCCTGGGCATCTCTGACTGGGTTTTTCTCTTATCCTTTTCCCTTTGATTTCTGGATTCTAACATATTCCAGAGCCAGGACTCAAGGAAACACAAACAGCTGAAAAATCTGTTAAATTACATCATTTGTCTCTGAGAATTGAGGCATGCTGGTTGAGTCTTCGGTTCAGATAAAATACAAGTTCTGATATCCCAAGACTTCTTAAAATTTCAAGTAACATTCTTTGGATTAAAATTTTTAATGATTTTCAAGTAGTTCTGAGCCTGGTAATTCTCATTATACATGCCGTATACAGGTAAACAATGTATTTTACCACTCTATTACAGATAATAAATTACATACACATTACATATTGCATCTTCTGTATAATAATGGGGTGCTAAATGGGGATGGGAAAATCCAAGTAAAAATGCCCAACTGGCACCTGGAACCATTTCCATGGATTTTCTCCCTAGGTCCTGCCAACCTCCTTTACTGTCAGGAACACTCTATTTCAACCAGCAGTGTTGGAGACAGAGGAGAACGAGAAAAACCTTCTGGAATCTCAAAAACAGGCTCCAAAACTCTGCCAGACTACAACCTTTCTCCCAGTGGTGCCACCAACCCTCCCAGCTCTCTCCTGCCCTCTGTATCCGAGCCACTGGCCTTCCCCCGGGTCCTGCCTTCGCTGTCTGCTGCCTGGTGATCCCCAGACAGGCAGCCTTACTCTTAGGGCTTTACCACTGCCAAGGCTCTGCCTTGGGCGATGGCCATCCTAGTGGGTCCACGATTCTTCGGAGGCTTTGCTCACTCCGGGAGCTTTTTCTGACTCTTGGCTGTGAGGAGGGTGAGTGAGATTACTGTCTCTCAAAAGGAAATGCTAGTTTCAGAAATTTGGCTAACTGAAACAGAATAGGGTGTTATATAAAACTCCAGCAGTGCCTTAAAACCACACCCCAAATCTGTCTCCAAATCCCTACTTGTTAATATGATCTTTTTCTTTTTTAAATTAATAGACTATTTTTTAGAGCCATTTCAGGTTCACAGCAGAATTAAGCAGAAATCACAGAAAGTTTGCACATAGCCCTCCACACCCACACATATATACTTCCCTACCCTCAACATCTCTCATCAATGTGGCATATTTGGTACAATCGATGAACCAACTCGGACACATTATTATCAACCAAAGTCCATAGTTTACATTAGGATTCACTCCCGATGTACATTCTATGAGTTTTGACAAATGCAATATGCTCTTTTTTCATTAAAAAACACTTTGAAATTTTTTTCTCGGTCATGTGTCATTATTACCTCATGCTGGAGCAGATGAGAAATGGGGGAAGAGGGAAGTGGACCACGTCTCAGCTGACAGGTCAGTGAGGAGGAAGCCTGCAGAGTGAGCAAGAAGGTCAAGGTCAAGAGGAGCAGAAGGCAGAGGTGGAGACCAGGTGGGAGGATGATGCCAAATGAACTTCATCTGCCATCTCCCCTCCCCTGCCAGCCCCAAATTCCCCGTCCCCTTTCTGGTGCTGCTGCCAGTTACTGGTTACTAGCTGTCCTGGAGCAAAGCCTCTCTAATAGAACAGGACATAAAGGATAGTCAGAGCTCCTGGCAGGCCGGGCTGCTCCCTGTCCCCAGGCCACGTGTAGGTTCTGGTCTTATGATAAGGACAGAAATGCCTGCCTGGATGTCCCAAAGGAATAAGTAAAAACAAAGACTGCCCTCATGCTCTCTCACTGCCAGAGTCCAGCAAATACTCAGGCCCAGAGGAGAGATACAAAAGGTCTAAGAGTGCCTGGCGTACCCTGGGTACCCAATTCACATGTGTCAAGTGAATGCATTGATAGACACACACACACACACACGCACACACACACACACACACACACACTTCATCCCTTTTTGACCTACTCACACACACACACACACACACACACACACACTTCATCCCTTTTTGACCTACTCACCTGAGTCTGATCTAGGGCCCTTTCCTGGCACCAGTCCCAGCTACTCACTCATTTCCAAGCACACAGCACCCGGGGAACCACTGTAGGAATGGGGCAGGTAGGGGCACAGCCATTCCTACTGTAAGCTCGTTGCGGTAATGTACACCTGAGACATAGAAAGTAGACTGTGGCCTGCTAAGGCCATAGAACAGGCAGTTGGTGGCTGTGGAAGTTCTCAGAGCTCAGGGTATCTAGCTCCTGAGCTAGAACACTCTCCTACAGCCTCCTACAGTCTCACTGCCATTGGATGTGTTGCCAGAAGATCAGCCCTTGTCCCTGGTGGGCCAGATTGAAAGTCAGAGACCAGGTCTTAGAGCAGAGAAGAAAAGAAACAACTTTATTACTTTGCCAGGCAAAGAGGACTCACAGCAGGCTAGTGCCTTCAAAACTGCAAACTCACCTTGGGGATGGGGTAGGGTGATGACATAGCCAGAGCTCAAACAATAAATCATCGATAACAATCAACAGAATAATTTTCCCTTCATAAGACTTGAGAGTGGTGTCCTGATGCCTCCAGGACTAATTCTATAGAGGCTACCGGTTGTCACTTCTTCGATCTCTTTATCTTGTAAGCACCCAAGGCATGGTCTTCTTGGTAATTCAGGCCATTTTGTAAGGTTACAGTTCTATGACCTTCTCCCTGGAGAACAACTCAGAAACCAAGTGTGATTATTACTTTTGATTACTGGAATAAAGCAGAAACAGTACAATTAATAGCTTTATTTTAACAATGGGCCTGGAGCTGTGAGTAGCAACCAGTCAGACAAGTCAGTTGACCATTTTAAGGGCAAACATAAAAGGAAGCAATCTGTTAGCCTAAACGTGGCTGTTTTATTAATTCTCTTTTAGACAGAGCTAGCAGTGAATGTGGACTTGACTTCTTTTTCTTCTTTTTTTATTGAAGTACAGTCAGTTTACAATGCTGTGTCAATTTCTGGTGTACAGCATAATGTTTTAGTCATTTATTTTCATTATAGGTGACTACAGTATATTAAATATAGTTCCCTGTGCCATACAGAAGAAACTTGGTGTTTATTTTATATATACTAGTTAATATTTGTTACTAATTACCTGTCTCTCACTGTTGGGGGAAGAGCTCTTTCTTGCTCATTGTCCTAAAGAGGGCAAACAACAACAAAATTAGCCAAACAAGCCAGCCCTGAGTAAAGTCCCAGAGTGAAGGCCTTTTGTTTGCTTTTTGCTTTCATCCTCTCCCAGGTCCCTTTACCTCCATCAGGAATGCTCTATTTATTCCCAAGGAGTCTTTTTGGTAGAGAGTGGAGGAGAGAGAGCTGGCGCACTGGCCCTCAGGCAGAGAAGCCTCTGATAACCTCATTCATATTGTTACACAATTCCTTTGTAAAGTAGGACTACATCCAAAGAGAAGTCTTGTACTGGGTAAATGACTTTATCCTCTTTTTCACAGGCATTTGCATTTTAAAAAGGGAACACCAAGATTCTGGAATGGCCTTCTCTAATAGCAGTGCTGTTGGCACTGCCCAGGGACTTTGGAGGTCAGGGATCTTTCCAGCTGGTGGTTGCCACCTACTCTGACCACAAGGCCAGTCCAGCAGCCGAAAAGAGCTTTGGGAGGGAGGAAAGGGAAGAAGGCGTCCACTGGTAGAAGCACCACATTGGGAAATGTCACCTTCTCAAGTTAGTCTCTCTGACTCACATCCTGGTTGAGGGGGCAGGTAGGTGAAGAGGAGCAAAGAATACTTCGAGAGAATTCAAGGATCTAACCTGCTTTCTAAAATCAAAACCAAAGTTGATAACATTCATTTAAGTAAGAAAAAAAAAATAGAACATGGCCGTGAGTAACTGCTCTCCCCTGGATCGATGCCTAGTCACAGATTCCTACCCCCCTCTCCTTCAGTTTTCTGGAGGCTGTCTGCTTGTGTCTCATCTCTTCTCCCCACATCCAGAGACTCCGGTTGCTTTGCACAATTGTAGGTCCAGACCAAAGCTGGGTGGAATACATACTGCTGAGGACAAGCCTTCCTTAGACTGAGGACAAGTCTCTATACCAGAGATGGGCTCCTCTCCCCCAACTCGTTACCCGCCCTCAACCTGAGATGACAGTTCCAGCTCCCATGCAATTGAGGCCAGCCTGACTGTCCCTTGCTGCCTGGTCCATTGGCCAGTTCTCTTTGCTCTTTCTTCAGAGATGCCTCATGAGATTTGTTATTAAACTGTCCATGATTTTAGTACCAGCTGCTGCCAACATATGTAAGACAGGAGTAAATATTTCACTGGCATAAAGTTGACCGACAGCTCAGTCTATATCTGAATTTCAACCAACGGTGGGCCCCCAGTCCAATGGCAGGTGTCCTGATAAAAGACACATGGAGGAGAGACAAGGCACAAAGAAGAGGAGAAGGAAATGTGACCACAGAGGCAGAGAACAGAGTGATACACCTGCAAGTCCAGGAAACCACCAGATGCCAGGAGAGGCGAGGAACAGAATCTCCCCTAGAGCCTCTGCAGGGAGTGCAACCCTGCTTTCTCCTTATTTCCAACTTCTGGCCTTCAGAACTGTAAGAACTGTTATTTCAAGCTGCCCATATTGTGGTAATCATTTCCTCTGATATAAGTAAATATAAGTAAAAGACAGTACCGGCGTCCAATCTGATCCCAAGGTCTGGGAAGTCATACGGTCCAACAGATGCGCACATCTTGCTAGTAAGTGATGGAGGTTATTTAAGAATGAAATGAGAGTACTTTTTCTTTCAATTTATTTGTTTTAGTTTTTCAGTTGGCATCTAAGTTGTTAGGACCTCAGTATATGAATTAAATTGTTTGCATACAACTACTTAATAAATGGAATTTTTAGGCATTTCTTTTGGCATAGGGACACTGAAGAAATTTCTAAGACAATGTGCTGTGAAACAAGTGTGGGAACTTATGACACTGGGTGCTGGTGTCAGAAACCCACGTACCCTGGATTTTCCTTCTTTGCATCTCTGGCCGATTGCTTTCTTGCACCTGGTCCAAGAGGGACCTCTACATGGAAAGGAGAAGGGGCAAAGCAAGGGGGGGTGATGGGGGAGGGGGCAGATACACCTTCCCTTTAAGGGCACAACCTGGTGGATGGACTCATCATGTTTTTTCTCAAGCCATTGGCCTGAATGAAGTCATGTGGCCATGCTTAACTGCAAAGGGAGGCAGGGACATTCAAATTGTCCCCTAGGTTCCCAGATAACAATGGGGGTGCTTTATTAGTGTCACAAGAACAGGGAATGGATATAGGGGGTAACCTGCAGCCTCTGGCTCTGACCACATGAATGGAGAGCATGGATTGTATTGCTTCTTTCTCAATAACTGGTAATATCATCAACAGTAATAGTAATTGCTAAGCAGACTGAAGGAGAGCAGGAGGCTCTGGGGGCAATGAAGGGCACAATAAAAGGGATTGGAACGCCGGCAGCCCAACAGAAGGGGCACACGGTGTGCAGGTATACATGGTAGGTACCATATAGAGACAGCACAGTAAGAGTTTTACTGCTTTATTTTCTTGCCTTTTAGGAGTTACCAACAGTCTTCAGTCTACAGAGGTAAAAACATTAATTTACATTTGGAGCACAGTCTTGTTCTGGTAAGAGTTACTTTCTGTACCAGGGGAAGACAGTAATAGATTATATCTTTGGTTTCTTCATACTTATTATTTATGTGTTATTAATTGCTTCCCTAACACTTGTTTACATACCAATTTTAACATAAGAACCAACAATGCCCTTCTTCTTTTGAGACTCAAAGTTACTAAAAGATATTGGTTGGACTACCATAGCCTGGACCAAAGCTTGATGACAGGGAAAGGCAGTGGATTCTTATATTTAAATAATTCACTGTGAGAGTAATAGTTGGCTGGATTAATGGGTTGGCTGTTCCACCAACATTTGGATACCCAAGGGGAAAACTTGTCGAGAGGGGCGAGACTTCAACCCTGCCACCTGGAGTTGGGCATAGTGGGCTTCTTCCCTAGAGAAGGAGGCTGTTCTGAAAGAGTCAAAATAGTTTGCCGTTAACCTTACAGAGTACTTTCCTTTTTCCCCAACAAGGGTCCCTTCCTCTGCTATATTTGCATCTATACATATACGTCTGTTTGTGCATCACGTCACTGCTCCTATCACAGGCTCTGTCCCACCTTGGCTTTCTCCACAGCATCATCTGACCAGACTGTAGTTATCAGTGAAGGGTTTAGGGGTGTCTAGAGGACATCACAATGTAGAAGAACTTACAACCTGACACTAAGCCACTTGCAGAGTCCTAGGTAATGGGACCTTTGTTTATGCTCCTGCTATAGTCGCACTCTTACCAAACAATTTGTCCCTCACTCTTGGGACTCTCTCCTACCAATCTCTCACAAGCCAGGCCCAGCAATTCACTCACAGTTGCCGTCTAACTCAGGGAAGTCCCATGTCCCTTTATTCAAGGTCACAGAGGCCAGTGTGACAGAAGACCAAGAGGGTAGGACCAGGCCTCTGTGGCTCCCATCCCACCCCACCCACTCAGCACAAAAGGATGCACAACCTTTGAGCCCTCCTGCTGCCCAATTCTGTGTGGCAGTTTCCCCACTCAGCCCTCCCAAGCAGAGAGCTGGAAGTTCGTCAGGACATGTATATCATTACATTACTTTTTGACCTTCTTCATTTTATCCATGAGTAAATGGCAAAGGCATCAGGTACATAGTCAAAGAAATGTGCCAGCACCCCAAGCCTGGATAGGAAATGCAGAGTCGAGTAACACGAAGGCATTTCCACAGCTCAGCCCAGGATGGGTCTTAGTACTTGGGGTTTGGTGGCCTTCCAAGACCACCCACCCACTTGAAGCAAAACTGGGCCTTCTCATTCTTCTGGTGGTTAACTATTGGAACACACACACAAACCTCCCAATTCTAAAGAAGAGAAAGAAACATTTTTCCTAAGTGCCATGTCCCGCAATTAAGTGGGCTAACGACAGCTTCTTCTTGTTGTTTATGACATTTCTGTATCCCAAACCATCTCCCACAGGCCCTCAATGCATAGACAGCTGGCCCATTATTAATCTTTCCAAACATCAAGTCCATAAACACCAGTGGCCACCCTCCAGCTACACGAAGAGCTGATTGAAACTTTGAAATCATGGCTTTTTTACCGCGGACCAGATAAAACTTATAGGTGAGGTATCCTCCTCTCTTGGCTCCATAAGCCACTGGGGCTTATTTATGGATTGATTATTCCCCTTGACCCAGAGTACACCCCAGCACTGAGGGGAAGTTCTGTTAAAAAGCTATAACATCAGGAACCCAGAAGTAGCCTCTCTTCTGGCTGAGAAGCCCTTGCAGGACTGACAACAGCTGTGAAGGGGCTGTCCTGGATCGCCCATGCTGCAGTGGGTTACCAGCATCAGGCTTTGGTGGTTACATGGGTACAGCTGAGGTCATGTGGGAGCTGGGAATCCCAGAAAGGTGAGAAGATCCAGGATGGACCTTTGAGATCAAGTAGGCCCTTCTGGGTCTCCAGGCTGGTCCACAGGGAAGGAATAGGATTCTGGACTTTCCTAATCTGGACATGCAGGTCCTCAAAAGGCATTTTCCAAGGCAATGGGTGGAATTACATTACTTACATACCCAAATGGAGAAGTGGGACATATGGTTCAATACAACTTATTTTATTGCTGAAAAAAATGCTAAGAGGTGGTACTATTTTTATTTCCATTTTATATAGAAGGAAAGTACAGTTTAGTAGAGTAACTTGTCCAACGCCACATGGCTAATAAGTGGGAAAAATTAGATCTGAAACCAGGTTTGCTGGCTGTTCTTAATCAGTATGTCCCCCTGCCACTCAGGGCTGTCAACAAGGAGTGACTGACATCATCATGACACACCTTCTCTGCGTGACCAGCCCTGGATCATGCTGAGCCTGAACCTCCCCTACAGGAAAGGGAAGACCCAGAACCAGACCTGGCTCCTGAAATGAGCCCCACTGAGATGCTCAGTGTTTTCTTTCAATAAGTACTAACCAAATACCTACAATGCTCTCAGGAGTATGCTCAGCTTTTAGGCAGTAACAAGTCTAACAGGATCCATGCTTTCTAAAATACCTTGCCATCTGGTTGGGGAAACAGGAACAGCACGGGTAATGGTGAATGATACAAGGCAGTTACAATGAAGGATTAAATTGTATGTTACTGACTATAATTTTTATAGCAGTTCAGAGAAGAAAGAGGTGAATATGGGCTGTTCTTACTCAGGGAAGGCTTTTATAAAGAGGGGTTTGAACCAAACTCTCAAGGACAGATAAGATTTGGAAGGGGAATGAACTTACTAATCCTCTCCCCCACAACCAAATCATATAGTTGGTTTATTTCTTTTAAAGCCACTGATAGTAAGCTGTGTTTTGCTTTTCTTTTTTGAAAATTTCTAAATAGAGTCTACATTTAGAACAAGTGATATAAACACAAAATTTAAAAAAAAACATGTTACCACTGAAACCATCTAACTTTGTGTCATGAATTTTTATAGTCAATGCTCATGGGATGTCTTGTGATTTCCTAAGAGTGACTGTTCTGACCTAGTCACAAATAATTTAAGACACAGGCAACAGCTGCCATTTGAGAGGTTTGGTTTTTTTTTTTTGATATGATAAAGAATATAAGATTAAGATGCCTAGTTCCAGGGGCCTATTTTGTTCCCTAATTTTTAAGAAGACAGAAGTCTTCAAAACTTTGAAAGCAGAGTTTTAGCTATGACCTGAGTTTTACTCCACAAAGCCCTCTACTTCCCATTTCTAAGGAGGCCCTATGCCCAGGCCTGGGCCAGGGCCAGAGGCAAACTCTCATAGGCAACCTGAACAACATGTTGGCTTTCTTGACTCTCAGATCCAGAACGATGCTCTGCGAAGAGCCAGAAGTGCCACCGCCTTGGCAGGGGCCCTGAGCTCAGTCTGGTGAGTAAGTGCCAATTGGCGGTGATGTTGGTGGTGTCTCTGGATTTGTCCCCTAATACAGCATGCTCTACATCTTTAGATCCGAACTGGCATTGACAATTGTATGTTTTGCTACAGTGCAACAGTAATTGAACTGATTGGTTAAATAAAGTCACTACCATTCACATGACAGACTTTGACAGAGAAAATGTTTTAGGGGAAGTTCCATCTGGACAAGAGATGCCCAAATGGCTGGCTCCCCACAGTCTTGCTAGACTTTACCAGACTGAAGATCCTTGTTGATTGCTGACTGATGGTACGCAGGAAGCTCCCCTTACCCACCAGTACAAGGGAGGGAGAAGGGAGCCCTGGGAGCAGGGTGGGTAAGGCCATAGTGCAGAGCCCAGGAAGAAGCAAACAAGACGTTCGTCCTCATGTACTCCCAGGTGAACCTGGTCTGGGTCATATTCCTTCATACTCCCTTTCAGCGTGGTGGTGTTCTGGAATCTGTAATCCCAGAGTGAAAAAGCAACTCCAGCCAAATTCCTAAAACACTTATTCTTTTCCTAGACAATTGCTCCTAACTAGTCCCTGCCCTATTCTTCCCCACAGAGTGAAATCAGATTAGTCTTCCCAAATATAACTCGGTACACAGATCTCTTCAGGGTTTGTTCATGGTATGCCTTGACACAGAGAGGATATAGACGAGAACTCTAGGCAATGGAATTCACCACAGTGCCCTTTAAATGACAAAGTACACCACAGTGCCCTTTAAATGACCCTCTGCCTCCTTGGGACTAGGGGTCAGCTTTTTTTGATAGGACTTTACCCTCTCTCTCTGCTTTTCTAGCTCCATTGCTTCCTCAGCATCCTTTTTGAGTCACACGTCCTCCACTAAGCCCCCTGCACAGCCCTTTCCTGAGGAAACCCTGGCCCTAGCTTCACACGACTTAGGACAGTCAGTGCTCACTTTTGAGCAAAGTTTCCCCCAGAGCAAAGGTTGAAAGTCCTAAGCTCTCTCCCACTGTGTCATAGGAAATTGGTTTTTGAATGTCCTCAAGAAACATCTCACTCTTCTACCTTGTCAGAACACCCGGCCTCTGAGTTCTTGTGGTTAGAGGTTGTGTCTCACTCTTCTCAACCATTGTCTTAGACAGGTTGGCACTTAGGATGTGCTCACTTGATATTTTGGGAAAAAGTGAAGAAAGTGGTCTTTTTTTTTCTCTTTCTGCACTTGTAATTCATAGACAAATCTACACTTGCAAGGAGACTCGGAAATAATACACAAATTGACTTGAAATCTTAGTGCACTTTAAAAAATCTATTCCCACTCTTTAGTCAAAGAGAAGGCATGTTTTTTACCTATCTGTCAAATGAATAAAATAATTAAGAGCTACAATTGCTTGGCTCTTAGGAGCTTTAAAATCATGAACATGAATCATAAATTGTAGAAGTAAGCTCCTAACAAAAAATGAGAGAGCAATAGAGCGAGTGCAGTCCCACTGAGAGCCAATTAGCCCATTTCTTACTCAATCCATGAATTTCAGACTTTTAAAATAAGAACCATCAAAACAAACCTTTTGAGACCTGCTAAATGTGGCAGTCCTTCAAAAGTGTATATAAAATACAGATGTAAATCCAAACTTAATAAGGGGAAAATGACAGAGGATAGTAAAACTGGTCTTTGCAGAGCTGCTCTGTAAATGCATTTTATTTTATTGACCAGTTTTATAACCCTTATCAGGCAAATGCCTACCTTGGATCTGTGTGTGTGTGTGTGTGTGTGTGTGTGTGTGTGTGTATTTCAGCTGGTGTAACCTGAGCCAGGCTGTATGAACTCCTTAAATAATTAAATATGTCTGTATGTGGACAAACAAATGCATTATTGACAGATGACTGTTGGGTCCACCTGTCAAATGCTAAAACATTTGATTCTTAAGGACAATATATTTCTTTTGTTCAACTCCTATATTTTGAAACTGCTGTTTCTTTGTTTTTCAAGGAAAAAAAATTCTTGAAAGGGAAGAAAATGTACCTTGCAACACTCCTAAGGCCAGTCACACACACACCTCCATCTTCAGGACTTTGCCAGTGAGCCCTCTTGGAAACATACTAAGATTCTACCCCATCTTTGATTAATTTCCCTTTCCAATCCACAGTCCTTCTAGTCTCTAAGTGCTGTTGATTTTACTCCTAAAACATGTGTATTTTCCTCTGCATGTCTATTAACTAGACCCTTATATCACCTTACACTTGGGGAGTTGCAGGAAGATTGAATTGTTTTAGCTTTTCCCAATCTCTCCAACTCCAAGCCACTCAAACCAGATGGATTAAGTGAACAAGTGACTGATAAAAGGATAGAGAGAGGGAATAAGTGAAATTTGTTTTATTAAAATAACTGTTTTGGCTCCTGATTCTATAATCACTTTCTTTGCTATTTAAGAAAAAAAAATAATATATTTACTGGCCAAAATATGTGTGATACTCTCCCAGGCACTGTTAAGGGGTGCAAAAAATATATATATGACATGATTTTTTACATCAGGACATTTTTTTTGAAGTATAGTCTGTTTACAATGTTATGTTAATTTCTGGTGTACAGCATAGTGAGTCAGTTACATATATGTGTATATATATACACACAGACACATATATACACATACATATATATGTGTGTGTATATGTGTGTATATATATATATATATATTCCTTTTCATATTCTTTTTCATTATAGGCTATTACAAGATACTGGATATAGTTCCATGTGCTATACAGTAGGTCCTTGTTGTTTATCTATTTTATATATAGTAGTTAGTATCTGCAAATTCCAAACTCCCAATTTATCCCTCCACCCCTACCTTTCCCCTCTAGTTGAGGTGGGAAGCCCCGTGAAAAAGACGGCAGGACCCCCAGGCAGGGCCACTACCCTCCTGCCAGCACCATTTGGTTCCCTGGCCCTGCAGCATTATCTTGCTTTTTAAACTCTGAAAAGGCTTACTTCTAGGAAAGCGGAACTTATCCCTAAGATTCTATTGGTTCCCTGAGCTAACTCCTGATTTGTCCATTTCCCTACTCCTGATAGGTCCATTTCCCTCACTCCTGATTGGTCTATTTCTCTCACTCCTGATTGGTCCATTTCTACAAAGTTTGTTCCTAATTAGTCACCTTTGTTATATCTTATTTGCATACGATGTTACAAAATGTTGCAAGGTCTAGACTGGTAGCCTATAACAGCCTGTGTAAACCTAAAGATGGGGTCCAGAACTTGGAGTGTTAACTCCTCTGGGCTCTCTGGCATAATAAACCTGAGTTCTCCAGCCCTCCAAGTGCTGCTTGGACTTGGATCCAGGTTGCTGTCACAACTGAGCTGTAACACTGAGTTGTAACAAACTTTGCTGCAACATGGTAACTATAAGTTTACTTTCTATGTCTGTCATTTTTTTTTAGATTCTATATACAAGTGACATCATAGGGTATTTTTCTTTCTCTTTCTGGCTTACTTCACTTAGTATGACAGTCTCCAGGTCCATCCTTATAACTGCAAATGGCATAATTTTATTCTTTTTAATGGCTGAGTAGTATTCCATTATATAAATATACCACAACTTCTTTATCCAGTCATCTGTTGATGGAAATTTAGGTTGCCTCCATGTCTTGACTGTTGTATATAGTGCTGCTATGAACATTGGGGTGCATGTATCTTTTCACATTAGAGTTCCCTCCAGATGTATGCCCAGGAGTGGGATTGCTGGATCATACAGTAAGCCTATTTTTAGTTTTTTAAGGAATCTCCATACTGCTTTCTATAATGGCTACACCAAACTACATTCCCACTTACAGTGTAGGAGGGTTCCCTTTTCTCCACACCCTCTCCAGTATTTATTATTTGTGGACTTCTGGATTATGACCATTCTAACTGGTGTGAGGTGATACCTCATAACAGTTTTGATTTGTGTTTCTCTGATAATTAGTGATACTAAGCATTTTTTCATGTGCCTATTGGCCATTTGTGTGTCTTCATTGGAGAAATACTTGTTTAGGTCTTCTGCGCATTTTTGTTTTGGGTTGTTTGGGTTTTTGTCATTGAATTGTATGAGCTGTTTGTATATTCTGGAAATTAAGCCCTTGTCAGTAGCATCCTTTGTATATATTTTCTCCCATTCTGTAGGTTGTCTTTTTGTTTTCTTTAGTTTCCTTTGCTATGCAAAAGCTTCTAAGTTTAATTAGGTCCCATTTGTTTATTTTTGCTTTTATTTCTATTGCCTCAGTAGACTGCTCTAGGAGAACATTGCTAAGATTTATGTCAGATAATGTTTTGCCTATGTTTTCTTCTAGGAGGTTTATAGTGTCTTGTCTTGCATGTTTAAGTCTTTAAGCCGTTTTGAGTTTATTTTTGTGTATGGCATGAGGGAGTGTTCTGACTTCATTGATTTACATGCAGCTGTCCAACTTTTCCAATACCACTTGCTGAAGAAGATGTCTTTTCTCCATTGTATATTCTTGCCTCCTTTGTCGAACAACAGGCCCTTTTCAGTCTAGTTATAGAGAGGAAAGGTTAACAAACTTTGAATAGTTAGTAAACAAATAACTGCTTAAATAATATAGTAAGTGAAATAGGACAGCAGATAAGTGTGGGTATACTTATGAAGGAGACTGTTTCAAAGGGATCAATTACCTATCTTATGTTAATCATTCTTGCCTCTCTTGCCAGCATTTGGCATTGCACACAGTTGATATCTTAATAAAGAAAATCATTTGGTTGCAGGAGATAGAACCCTCTCAAGCTCATGGAAATGAAGAGGAAAGTATTCTAAGGATTCAGGGACATCTTGCAGGACCAGAGCAGGAAATACAGCTGGCCCCATGTAGACAGCAGGGAAGATCTGGAAGCAGGTCATCTCTTCTCTCCATCACCATCTCTTTCCCTAGGGCAGTGGGAGCCCTCACTGTAGCTATATATCTGATTCATTCTGGTTTCTCCAAAGATCATTCCAAAATCCAGCTGCAGCTCCTTTGTCTACACAGCCTTCAGCTCACTGCCCATGGCTTCCTATGCCCAAGTACACACACAGCTGGAAAATGGGATGGCCTTTATGAAGGACTGACCAGCTGCTGCATTGGAGGCAGGGTGGCTGGGGCTCTGGGACCTCTGATGCAGGGCTTGGGGGCAGGGAGCAAATGATTGGCATCTCCAGGACAGAAGCCAGTGAGTACACACTCAGATCCTATCGCTTGTCTCTAATTTTACAAAGGGAGACTGTCTTTGTTTAGAGAAAGGCTTACGTCTCCTTTTTGCTCTGGGCTAACTCCCCTGGCATTTGGGAAGTGGAGATGTTTGTGATGTATCACTTTGCTATGGATGTGTTTGGTTCAACAGTAAATTAAGTCATCAGACTTGATTAATGGGCTTAGGTTGAAGAGTTGGGAGGCATGGAGCTCACCTGACCTCCAGAAATAGCATATTGATTTTCCACAGCCAGGGACCCAGCCCCTCCTGAGGAGCTACAATTACAGATGGGAAGGAGGTGGGGCCCAGCCAACCTGGGAACAAACAGGAGGTTTTGTGTAATAACTTGCAATCTAACTTGCAGGTCTATGGCATTCTTCTTGCTTTTTCAGGCTTGGATCTGATCTAGTTTGCTTCTTCACACTGTGGGCTCTCAAAATTCATGGGAGTTCCAGCAACCACATGTGGCCTTGTAGCCACTTCCTCGGTTCCTCCGCACACAATCCAGAAATGGATGGGAGGAAATGACTCTGTGTAATGCCTCCCCCTTCTTCCCAACCTTTCCAGAACTTCAGCCACCCTGTCTCAGTTTTTCACATGCCTTCAGGAAGGCCAAGCTCTCAACTCACTGGATCCCACTCCATCCCTACATCTGCTTTAGTCTCTTGTATCCCTTCTCCTGAGTTACTGTGTTCAGCTTAATGTAGCTGAAAGAGCAACAGAGACTTAAATACAAAGCCTAGCTCTGCCATAAACCAGCTGTGTGACTGTGCACAAGTTGCTTAATCTCTCTGGGCTCCAATTTTGTTCTCCATAAAAATGAGGCCTACCAAAAGCAAGGCCCTAGACTGAGGATTTTTCTCTGTCTCCCCTGAGCTGGCTTCAATTTGTACTTTCCAGAATTCATCTCCTCTGAAATTTTCTCCTGCCAGTTGCTAGAGCATTTGGGGTAGGGGAGGGGCGGGGGTGATATGTCAATACGCATTCACGAAACATCTAAAGGTCCTTTGAAAATGGCAAAGCACAGACAAACATCTTAGAATTCAAACAGGCTTTATTTTTCTCCTACAGGCACTTTTTGGGAAGACTTGTGATATATAGAGGAAAAGAAAAGAGGTGCTTGGAAGGGCTTGCAGCCTCGTAACTTAAAGAGCTAAGCACTTTGCCTGCTGCTCTGACTTGGCACCAGGAGGGATGGGGAGGGGCAACCTGGTTTCTTTCCACGTTTGCCCCATGCCCGCCCTTCTGCGTAGAGGAAGTGACAAATGGGGCCAAGAAACAAACAGAGGATTGAACTTAAGAAGGAAAACACAGGAGGCCTCATTCAACCCAGAAGTCTTAAAGAAGCAGCAGAAAAGGTCTAGAAGGCACAGGGTGCGTTTCCGTAGTTGTCTGCCTGGATTACATTTCTGAGTCATTTCTTAACACTTGGCAAAGAGGCTTAGATGTTTAAAACTCCCTTTGTGGCTGGGGAACTGGAAGTATCACATCTGTAAAGAGCAATGGGTTTTCACCTTTTTGTACTACAATCACTTTCACTTTAAAATATTTGATGTTTTATAGGCGTGCTCTGTTAGACTGAAGTTTTCACCTGTTCCTCCTTCCAGTCACCTCACCAAGCAAGTTTCCAGAAGTGACAGGACTTGCTTGTAGGTGATCAAACTTAGTATTTTCTGATACTCTCTTTGTGACAGCACGTTAACTGATACTTATTGAATGCTAGGCCCCGTGGAGGAAACAAAGTCTATGAGAGAGATGAGTCACCCATTTAATTGCATAGCATGCACACTCATGCTAATTATTGAACTAAATTTCTTAGACCTATTTAAGATTGATTAAATAAATGCTGAGTAAGCATGCCATGGTTACTGTGCAACTATAAAATGACGATGCAGATCCATGTAGCTATGAGGAACTGTTTTTTTCTTAGGGCTGCTGTAACAAAGTACTTATCGTAAACTTTTGTGGCTTAAAACAACAGACATTTATTCTCTTATACTTTTAGAGGACAGAAATCCAAAATCTAGGTGTCGGCAAGAACACGTTCTCTCTGAAGGTTCTAGGAGAGGGTCCTTCCTCTTTGCTCTTCCCATCATCTGGTGGTTGCTGTTAATCCTTGGTATTCCTTGTCTTACAGATACATCACTCCAGTCTTTGCCTCCCCCTTCATACAGCATACTCCCTCTGTGGCTGTGTGCCTATGTCCACATTTCCCTCTTCTAATCAGGACATCAGTCAGTAGATTAGTCATTAGACCCAACTCCCCTGAGGCTTCCATGTTGTGAGGAAGCTCAAGCCACATGGAAAAATCACATGCAAGTACTCTAGTCCATAAGCCCAATAAAACTTAGAATCCTACTGAATCCAACCCAGGAGTTAGTTCTGAGTGAAGAATGAAGCTGCCAAGTATTTCCAGACCCCAGATGTTCCATTATCTTCAGCCATTTGAGTTTTCCCAGCTAAGACCCCAGACATCATGGCCACCCCAGCTGTGTCCCGTGTAAACTCTGTACCCAGAGAATTCATGAGCTATAATAAAACAGTCACTTTTTATGCCTCCAAGTTTTAGGTTAGTTTTGTATGGCAATAGATCATACGGTTTACAAAATGCCATGAATAGTACAGTCACATTTAAAAAAAAATATTTGAATGTATATGCATGTACAGGAAAAGCCTAAAAGGTTTTACCCCAAACTGTTAACAGAGATTATTTGGTGGTGGCAGTGGGGTTTACCCCCTTCTTTATACCTTTCTGTATTTTCTGAATTCTCTATGATGAGTACATATTACTTACACAATCAGGAAACAAAGAACTTTTTCATTTAGGAAGATGGTATAGTGGTTGTGTTTCCAGCCACAAGTCATGAAGGACTCCTAATGCTTGAGGCTTCTCTGTACTCTGTACTGTAGCCATAATCAACACACAAATTATTTTGCAACCAAAGTTTGTTTTAGTTAAGACCCCTGGGACTCACAGGGCTGAGTCTAGTCTCTTCAGGGCTTGGTCATATGGAAGCAAGCAGGGACTGAAGAAGAGGTCAGGCGCTCTATTGGGCACTGCCCTCCAGGCACCGGGCCCAGAGCTCCCTCTCCTTTGGGAATGGGGAGGGAAGTGGTTGTGCAGCTGTTTGGGGAGGAGAGAGGTGGAAGGACAACGAGAGAAGTGGGAGGGTCCATTGAAGGCCTAGAAGAGGGAGGCCCGGTGACATGGCCGCCTTCCCCTACAGGGAAAGGGATGGTTTATGCATCTCCACGGCTTGGCATTGGGATGCCCGCCTGTACCACAGACCTGGACCTGTATACTGCTGGTGTTATTTCTACCATGCTAACAAAGTTTCTACCATAAAGTGTGTCATTGGAGCACATCCTTTTCCTTCAAAGACATAGTATTCAAAGGTTAACAACGCATCCTGCCAAGAGCACAAACACAAATCTTGGCATGACAAATGAAGCCTTGGACTTCTTGAATGGTCACACTTTAGAGACCAAGGGAAAGTGGGAGAAGCAAAAGGCCACAACTGAAAAGAACAGTCCTTGTGACTTCCACAAAAAATGTGTCAGGATGGAGCCAAGGGTGAGTTAAGTATTACATGCATGGTTTCTAAGGAAACTTTAAAAGCAAATAGTACATCAGGGAAGAAGGCACTCATTACACACAGGAGAAGTTCCCAGACCCAAGGACCATCGTTCCCTTCCAGGAGCAACTTCCCACTTCCACAGAACATTCCACACAGGGATCCCAGGCACACTTGGCACCACTGGCCTCCACAGAGGTGGAGGGAGCCCTAAGAAACCAGGCAAGAAGTGGATGTGAGGTGCTCTGAGCTGCTGAGCCAACATGAGAGACTTGCTGAGTATCTTCTGGGGAGCCATCACTCCATTTACAGCTGGTAGCCGTTTCTGCTAAATTTGTGATCTTGTCTGTATCACTTGCCTGTTAGCAGATACTCTGGTGGTTTAGAGTGAACTACTTAAGTGGCTCTGGTTTCTGTAAAGAGAGTAAGACATTCAGTGGAGACCAAGGCAAATCCTTCCAGCTCCTTCCTTTTGTTCTTCCCATCACATTGCCCTGATGTTTTTGGAAGGACAAAATGAAACATCTTCAACTCCCAGACAAGGCAGTTTAGGGCTGGGGAAGGCCCCAAACCTGCCTACTTTAAAGTGTATATGAAACTCTCTCTCTGTTTTGGGTCCCCCTCTGATTGGTCTTCACTGTATATACAGCTTGGACAGCATCCTTCACCTTCCACCCCTCCCCAACCTCTCCCAGGGCAGAAAGAGCTCACTCTAATTCATTTCCCAGTGACCTTTGTCCTCACACACAATTCCTGAGGGCCACAGCACACCATCCACTCGCCCCACTGTGCTCACATACACACACTAAAATCCATGCCTCTGCTTAAAGGCTAACTCACCTTTGTTCCCAAGCCAGTCGAGTTGTACTGGGAAATTTGTACTAGCACAAGTTTGATAAATCTAAAGAAAGAGTATGGGGGTGAGACAGAGTATTTTTGTTAAACCCTAGAAAAGGAGAGAACTAGAAGCAAAATTTGGCCAAGTCCATGAAAGTCCTGACAGGAAAGATGAGAGTCAGCCAAAGAACTTCAATGGTTTCTGGCCCTAAGACCCAAAGGCAAGTTCTTCCCTGAAGTGGAGATGAGGAGCAGCTAAGAGAATTGGGATATTTCTAGTGCTGTTGGCAAGACCAGTTGTGGTGGAGGCAGCTAGCTATCCATCAACACAGGTTCTTTCCTTCCTCCACAGTAATGAATCCCCAGCTGGGGGGCCTGGGATGACACATCTGTTCGCAGGCCTCTGCAGTGAGGTGTGGCGATATGCCTACATCCCCAATGGAAGGTGAGAGAAAGTGTCCCACTTCCAGCAGACCCTTTAAAACATTGCACACAAATCCCCCACTCCTTCCTATGGGCTTGGGACCTAACTTCAACCTCCAGGTGAAGACAACACCCATGACAGAGGCAGAAGGAGTCTTGGAGTCTTGTTTTAGAGGGGAGGTAATTAGATTTCTTTATGTATGTTCTAATTAATTTTTTACTTTATTTTGTTTTTAGTGGAGGTACTAGGGGTTGAATGTAGGACCTTGTGCATGCTAAGCATGCTCTCTACTGCTGAGCTGTACCCTCCCCCTCAGAGTCTTGGATACTTGCGTGACCTTGTGGAGCAGAGAAGCCCACCAACAAACTCCAGACCACTACCTGAAGAAAGAATACACTTCCATGTTCTTTATATCTCTGTAATATATCTCTTTCAGGATGAAAAACAAACTTCTGGAATGAGGCCCCCAGTGTTTACTGCATCCAGCCTGCTACATCCACTTTGTCCACACTAGCCAAAGTCAAAGCCGAAATGATCTGGATGCTCTGTCCATGCTGCTCTAGGTTCACCACCTCATTTTCTCCAGACAACATCTGATGAGATATTGCAAGTTTCCTACCTTTATTGGTGAGGAAACAGAGACTCAGAGAGGTTCAACAACTTGTTCAATCTATACCACAGTACAAGTGACAGCTTTGGGATCTGAACTCAGGTAGGTATGTTGGATTCTGAACTCTGTGCTCTTACCTCGACTTTTTGAAGACTTGCTTGCTAGAAGAGAATCTGAGGATGGAACAGCGCATGTGGCTGTTATTTCTTATTGCTCCGATGGTAGGCACTGGAACCCTTAAGTTTGTTTAATAAGACTGTGTCCAGGTTCTCCAGGGGCTGACCTGAGGCAGGTTTCTGAGTCACAGGCTAAAGGTCAGGCCATGGCTGTAATAAATTTACCTGAGCAAGGAAAGCCACATGGTCCAGAGATAGTCCACCAGGTTTTTCTGGAGCAGCAGGTACCCTTCTGCATCTCTGGGTATGACTGAGAGAAGATCAGCGGCTTTTTTTCCCCCCCAAAATATGGCATGTTCATTGTTTACATTTTATAATGAAAGTATGGCTCATTTGATGAGTAAAATCTGAAATAGAATTAAACTATATAAAGTTAAAAGTAGAAATCCAACCGTCACCGTACCCCATCCCTGACTTTCCCACTCCATTCCACTGCTGGCCAGTTCATGTCTCTTCTGTTATCAGTTTGGAATATGACTTTCCAGTCCCCTTTTAAACAGATATTTAAAATTTTATATGCTTTTCAAGAAGTAGGTTACAAAATACAGTTGGTGACCCGTGGTTGGTTGAATCCACAGATGTGACACCCACCGATATGGAGGGCTTACTGCATATACTATTTTATATAAGGGACATGAGCATCCACAAATTTTGGTATCCATAGGGGTCCTAGAGCCAAGCCCCTGAAGATACCAAGGGATAACTGTAATGTCATGGCATCACTTGTTTGTAAACATGAAAATAACTAATATGCCTTTCTTTGAAATTATCTTCTAGTATTACAATTTTTGTATGTACCATCATTTTAATCATTACATGCTTTGAAATGAGAAACAATGTTAAAATAAGCATCGTTTATAAATATCTTTGTTCCTGTAATTCCATTTTTGGCAAGTTAACGTACAGAAATACACATGCATATTTGCAAGTGAGTATATAAATTTAAATGTGTATTGGTATTTGGAAATTGCCCTCCAAAAGTATGCTGTCGATTTATATTCCCATAAACAATGTATGACTTTGTTTATATCTTCACACTATCATAAATCTTTTTTAATTTTGACAAATCTGACAGGTTAGAAATTCATTATTTTTTAAACAATTCATTATTTTAGTAGGTATTTCTTTAATCTTTATTAAGAATAAGCATCTTTTATCATTTTTACTCTTCTTTCCTAGTTCTTCTGTAGAACTGTCATGTATATTCTTTGCCCAGTTTTCTTTTTGAGTGAGTTGTCATTTTTTTTATTAAAGTATGAGTCATTTATAAGTAAATATAAATGGTTATTTTCAATAATGTTTTGTAAAGACTTTTTCTAAGTTTTTTATTTGTTTATCAAATTTGCTTATAGTCATCTTGCCATACATAAATTATTAATTTTTAGACATTAAAGATATTCAAACTTTTCCTGAGTTCTTTTATTTTGTGCTTAGAAAGGCCTTCCCTTTATCTCTTTTCCTCAGAGTTATAAAAGCACTCCAGGAAATTTTCCTCTTAAATTTTTATGACTTATATTTTGTAAATTAATCTGATACATAGGATTTATAATTTTGTTGTAATAACTAATTTGTTTTCTTTCCAAACAGGAAGAAAATTGGCCCCAATTTCTTTACAGATGTGATATCTTTTCTACAATGATTTGAGGACCTTCTTTTGCATCTACTACATGTCTGGGTAAATTGAAATCCATTTCTAGACTTCATATTGTTTCATTGATTTGTTTAGTTCTGCCTCAGTATCATACTGTTTTAATTACTGTAACTTTACAATATGGCTCCACATCTGAAAGGCAAAAGTTAAATTCCTTTTCTACTCTTCTTCTCTAGAATAGCACACTGAAATTACTAGGTAAAATTTAGCATCATTTTGATAGTTTCCTTAAAAAATTTATTGGAGTTTAGTTTGTATTAAATGTAGAGATCAAGGGAATGTTGTATTATTTTAATACAGTCTTTTTAAAAAAAGTATATCTCTCCATTTATCCACCCTATTTAATATTTTCATAAAATGTCATAGCTTATTTTTATGTGTTTAATGTTTAATCCTATAATTCAATTTTTGCTACTTTTGTGAATGATATGTTTTTTCTCTGTTTTATAACTGTATTATTTGAATACAAGGAAGCTATTTTGAATTTTTTTGATAGTAGACTTTTTTTTTCCATTACAACTATTACCTTCCAAAACACAGTTGGGGAATGTTACAGAGAGCCTCAGAAAGTGATTACTGGATTATTGGATGAAACTATAACTCTTTATGAAAATATGAACTCATAGTTGTGAAATCTGCTTTGTTTTTCATTTTATTCTACTACACTATAAATTACCCTCAGCTAGAAACAGCTACTGTTTTCTTATTACAGAACACACTATCCATTTTCACAGTGTAAACACACTAAAATCTAATGATGGAATCACATATGTCTCTTCTGAGATTGAATTTCTTTCAATATGCCTTTGTACCTACAAAAAATAGAATCCTAATGCATTCATGCTTGTAAGTAAAAGATGAAAAGTTCTCTATGTGGTCCATCATTCACTAACACAAAATAAATCTTAATTGTGGCTATTTTAAGACATATAGAACTTCGAGATCAAAGATAGTATATTTATTTACCCACACCAATCCTACTTCAAAAACCTATAAAGAGATTAGAGGAATGTGCATAGTATACTATGATTTGTGGGAAAAGGAGGGACACATCTATATGTGTGCTTACATATGTGCAGAATATCTCTACAATGGTATATAAAAAACTGGCATCAGTGGTAAGAGGAGGAGATGGGGGAGCTGGGAGAATACAGGTAAACAGGAGACTTATTTTCCACTACGTACTCTTTTGTACTCTTTGAATTTTCTATCTCAAGCAAGTATTGTATTATTAATCTCCTATGTCAGAAAGATATTGAGAAACAGTAGTATTTCACACTAGCAATGGTATGGTAAGAATGAGGTGAGAATTCTTAAACTTTGTAAATGGGATATAAATTGGTACTGTTATATTTGACATGGCAGAAGCTTTAAAAAGTTCTTTTATCTGCATCTCTGACTCTTTCTGCAGGATGGACTCCTCAAAGCAGAATTACTGCATGTGGTTGGCAGAATCATGGTTCTCCCAAATGGACCCCCACATCCTAAATCCCTGGAACCTATGAATATGTTATGTTACATGGCAAGGGGGAGTCAGTTTGCACATGGGAACTGAGGTTGCAAATCAGATGGCTTTGAGATGGAGAGATTATCCTGGATTATCTAGGTAGACCCAATGTAATCACTAGGGTCTTACAAGTGAAAGAGGAGGACAGGACAATAGTGTCAGAGTGGTGCGTTGTGAGAAGGATTCAACCAGCCATTGCTGGCTTTGAAGATGGAAGGGGCCATGAGCCAAGGAATGTGGGTCATCTTAAGAAGCTGGAAAAGGCAAGGGAATAGATCTTCCCCCAGAACCTCCAAAAGGAATGCAGTTCTGCCAAAACCTTGATTTCAGCCCAGTGAGACTCATTTCAGACTTCTGGCCTCCCAACTGCAAGGTAAGAAGTGTGTGTTGTTTTAAGCCATCACGTCTGTAGTAATCTGTTACAGCAGCAACAGAAAACTAATACACTATGCCAAAAAAGCACTCCTTTATAAGAGTAAAAATCTGAAAAGAATCTAAATATTCATTAATAAAGGAATAGAAAAAATGATGCTACTTTTATATGAAGGAATATCATATAACAATTGTAAAATTTGTTAAACATTTATGAGAAAACATTAAGTTGAAAAAAGCAGTTTATAAACCTGTATCTGGTTTCAGTTATAAAAATTATATACTCTTATAATAGATATGACATATCCATACAGGGTTCAGCTGCAGAAAAGAGAAATTATTCAAGCTGTTTCAAACAGAAAGGGACATAGAAAGAATCAGATCCATACTAAATTATGGAGAAAACTGTAGGAGTGGGGTGGGCTCTCAAAAGGGGCCTCCTGAGAGGTCAAACGAGCCCTGCCAGGGTTAGAGCTACCTCCATCTGGGTCACAAAGAGGGAGAATCAGATGGAGTCCTAGCCTGCAATAGTGCATCCAGAAGGCAGTGGAGAGGAGATGGTCCCTTTTCTTAATGCTCTGTTTCTCATAACCACCACATCCTACTCATACAGTATAAACAATATTTAAACCCATTGCTAAATTTCTCTGCCTTTGTAATATTTTTAGACCAGAAACAAGCACTGACTTGTTAGAAGTGTTTAATAGAGAAGACTCTTATCGTTAAGAACACAGGCTCCGGAGTTAGATGATCTGGATTTAAATCCCTTCGGCCAGTTAGCTCACTCTTGGTACCTGAGCACCTTTGCCAATAAAGGGAGTAATAGGAATGCCTGCCCTACAGGGCTGTCAGGACCGAATGAGTTCATGGAGGCCAAGCACTGGTCAGGGAGTTCCAGCTGTAAAGGAAAACTGCTCAATACCTGGGAGCAATTGTTTTTGTACTATTTTCTTATATGTATCAAGTATTACTTATGTGTTAATTTTATCATCAGAAAAACAAAAACCTCATGTCAGAAAAATCCAAGCTGGATGCTAACCCTCTCAAAATAATATGGTCTGGTGAAAAAACACACAAATTTTAAAACTTGTTGCTGTATATCAGGTTCTGTCCTTTGTATATCTGCTTCCTGTTGATAAAAGGAATAATAAGAATACGTAAGCTCTATATAGAAGTCAAGAGTCAGAAGATCCTGAGTATTTTTATTCTCAAGGCCATTAATTCTGTCCAACAAATGCCACCCTCTATTTGTTGTGTAAAAAAGCACCCTATTTTAGCATTTAATGATGAATGAATAAGTTTGGGGGGACAAAGGGAAACTTTCTGATAATAAACAGGGGTAAAGGAGACAACTGGTTTTCAGTGAAGCTTGATTTACTAGTTTGACTTGATCATAGAGCCATCGAAATATGGACCTTTATAACTAATTAAGCATAAATTTCTCAGAGGCCAGCCCCTTTGTAATGGCTACTCAGTATGTAGCCTGGCCTCCTAACGAAGAACACAGATTTGGTGCCACTACCTCCCTTTTGGGACAGGGGCCCTGAAGGAAATGCTTGACAGTTTACGCTTTCACGTAGAGATCTGTCACTTGGTGCCACAGCCTCTCTTTGGGTTAGGCAGCTCCAGATTCTCTTGCCAAACGAGAATATAAGTCCAGCGCTCTTTTCATTGCCTCACATTGCATAGGACACCTTCAAAGATCCATGTGGGATGATATTGTTTATAACAACAGTCATCCTTTTTAATTAATTTTAAAATCTCCATGCCTGTAGGAGTTCAGTTTTACTCCTCCCCAATCTTCAGCAAGTTTGTGAGTCAGAAAGATATTCACCAGAGCATGAGTAGTGGGTAATCCATGTCTCTCACTGACTATCAGCTTGGCATATTTTATGACTTGTTCTTTTTCTACATCAAACAACCTCATGGTCTCCAGAGACGAAAAAAGCGTCCAAGTACATGAACTTTAAGGGGCCTAAGTATAAACTCCACCAGGCAGTGCTTTTACTTTTATTCCTAAATTCCATTACACACAAGTAAAGGAAGTAAGGCTAATAATTTAGTCAGCATTAGAGATAAGAACCAAGCAGGAAATGACTTTTTATGTGATGTCATCCAGGGCCCATGTCAGAGGAGGAACGGGCAGGGCAAGCCCTTTGTCCCTTACAGATCTTTCCCAGACCTCTCTGAATGAAAGAACAATATCGACAGGGGCACCTTTAATTATGTTACCTCAGCATAGATTGTGCTGCTCTTTATGACCATGATGTAGATGTTACTCGAATATTGAAAGAAAGAAAAACTGAGAAAGGAGAGAAGGAGTTAAAATCTTAATTATTTAGTGAAGATAAATCTTAGCTGAGGAAGTCATGAACGTTTCTAGGAATTTTATATTCCAGTTAAGTGATTGTGTCCTTTTGTCATTTTTAATATGGGCACATCTACGTTAGAGAATATTGGGGATGGGTGAATCACTTTCATCTCACTCGTGCACCTTTAATTATCAGGGATGAGGACACAGGAGAAAGACAAATCAAGCTCAAATCCCAGTGTGTGTGACTCTGGGCAAGTTACTTAGTCTTTTCACCTACAAAATAGATCAATTAATACCTGCCACAGAGGGTCATTGGGAGGATTAAATGAGATGATAAGTGAAAGTGCCCAACACAGTTGTCACTCAATAAATGTCTACAGTAACTTCCTCCTATGACTGCTCAGTAGATAATCAATTAATTTTTTAAGATTTTTAAAAAATTGTGATAAAATACACATAACAAAAAACTTACCATCTCAATCATTTTTAAGTGTACAGTTTAGTAGTATTTAGTGTGTTCCCATTGTTGTGTAGCCGATTTCCAGAACTCTTTTCGTCGAGCAAAATTGAAATTCTATACCCATTAAACAGTAAGTCCCATTTTCTCCTCTCCCCAGCCCTGGCAAATATCATTCTACTTTCCATCTGTATGAGTCTGATTACCCTAGGTAACTCCTATAAATGGAATTTGTCTTTTTTGGACTGGCTTATTTAGATAACCAATTTTTTAGATTATTTTTTGAGACAACAAATTTTTACACTCAGACAGAAGTTTTGGCATCTGCACATTATATTGCTATATTGCCTAAATATCTAACTGCTTAGGTAAAAACATGACATCTGTTATAATGTTAGATCATGTAAATTTTGCAGGGGATGAATTTTACACTAGCATAGTCAATTCTCAAATCACCTGCCACATACTGGTACTTGTGTCTTATTCTTTTTACTGCTTTGTAACTTCTTGAAGGTCAGGTGGTGCCTGGCATGCATTAAGAGTATATTAAGCACTAATGGACTAATTAGTAAATTAATAACTCAATGGATTAATATCCTGTTTTAAGAATTGCTAGCAAGAAAATGTTCATCATAGGGTATTTCTCTTCCCATTGATTCTGTGACACATCTTTGCCCATCGACTGATAGTACTTAGAGAATGCAAAATTATTTAAATATTAACCTAAGCAAAACACAGTTTCAAAGATGACGCAGATGAAAAACAGTGCATTAGTCCTTTGAAATGCAAACTCAATCAACTTCTGGATCACATACACTTCTTTTGTGTCCCATCAGCTTCTTAATGTCAATGCACATGTCAGATTTGCTCAGTTTTCAAATTCTGGAGTACTAACTAATTATTAACAGTATGATTGGCAAAGATTTAAAACATTAAAATATTCAGGACTGATTAGGGTGTGGGAAATAGGGGCTCACATACCATGCTGGGGGAAATCTAAACCTTTAAGAGGGCAGTTAAACTTTTTTGTGCATTCTCTCCTCCTGCCCCCGAACCTGCAAGTTCATTTCTAGTTATATATTCCACAATGACAATCACACAAATGTTCAAAGATATATGTGGCTGTGGTAAGCTAAATAATGGTCACCCAAAGATGCCTACATTTTAATACCCAGAACCTGAGTGCCTGTGAATGTCATGTTGTGGCAGAAGGTAAAATGTTACAGATAGAATTAAAGGTTACTAATCAGCTGACCTTAATATAAGATGCTCCTGGATGCTACCAGGTAAGCCCAATGAAATCCTGAAGGTCATTTAAAGGTGGATGAGGGAGGCAGAAAAGTCAGCGTAAGAGAGATTCAATGCTGGTGTGAGAAAGACTCAATCAACATTTGCTGGGCTTTGAAGGTGGAAGGGAGCCAGGAGCTAAGGAAAGCAGCAGACTTTAGAATCTGGAAAAGGCAAGAAAAATGATTCTCCCCTAGAGTCTCCACAGAAGAATGCAGCCCTGCTTACACCTTAATTTCAGCTCAATGAAATCTATTTTGGATTTCTGACCTCCAGAACTGTAAGGTAATAAATTTGTGGGGGTTTTTTTAAGCACACACATATAATTTATTTAATAAGAAAAATAGCTGCACTCAAAAATTACTGAAGGCCTTCCTATGAATATCTTTTAATTCCCCCAAATTATCACATCACTCACTCGGTGAGTTTGGACTGTGAATTGTAAAATTTCCTTCCATAAGCTCTTCAGTCCCACTGGAGGCACAGAAAGCTCGCATCCTGCTCCACACGGAAGACGGCCTTCCCAGGCAGCTCACTCGAATAGGACGCCCTTGGCACGTCTGCACAGTGGCCGTTAGGAAGCTTTTGCTTTGCTGACAGGGAGCACACCGGGTGAGTTTCAAGTTTAAGTGATCCCGAACTAATCCATGCAATCTAAAAAACTGGTAAACATTCAGCAGATAACTAGGTGTAGCTTTTTTTAAATTAATTTATTTTTATTGAAGTGTAGTTGATTTACAATGTGTTGGTTTCAGGTGTACAGCAAAGTGATTCAGTTATAAAATTTGTGTTGCTTTAAGCCACCAAGTTTGTGATAATTTGTTACAGCAACAATAGGAAACTAGTACAATGACTAAGGTTGCTCACTGCAGCATCATTTGTGGCAAGAAAATTGAGAGCAACCTAAGCACCCATCAATAAAAGCCTGACAAAATATTGCATCATAACCATGGATGTCAGAGGCTTCAGGCTTTTGCCAAAGGGAGAACTGCCAGAGGTAACCTCTCTGTCTGGTTTTGGCGAGGGCTTGGCAATCAATTTAAAATAGAAGAGAGGGAAAATATAGTAAAGAGATTCCAGTTAATAAATTGTAAATGCATAGCAAGTATAACACAACACCGAGGCTGTGGTACTTTTGAGCCACCCAGTCTTATTTCCTTCTTACGATAAACCTATAAATATGCTAAGTACCATGTTAAACACTGGAAAATATAGGGGAAAAAAGAGAAAAAATAAATAAACAAATAAATAAACGCTGGAAAATACAAAGAAAAGCTGACTGACTAGAGAAGGGAGAAGAAGCAAGAGAATGATACAAAGTGCAAGACGTGGCAAAGCAGAGGAAGGCATGGGTACCTCGAGAGGAAGGCGTGAGCACAGGGCGGGACACCTCACTGAGCCTGGGTGGGAAGGCAGGATGGGGACAGCCACCAGGAGGAAGTGCCTGGACCCAATCCCAAAGGAGGAGTGGGATTCAGCCAGACAAAAAACACTTGGAAGGCCGTCCCAGCGGAGGAAACAGCTTACAAAAGGCTAGTTGACACGATGTCCAGTGTGGATGTGTGGGTGGGGTGGCATTTGGGAAGACAGTAAACTTTAAAACCCTACACAAGGACTTTTACATAATGAGTTTTTTTATACTCTCTGAACGTTAGTTTCCCCACCTTCATAATAGAATCCTAAAACCTTCCTTTCCCAAGAGGATTAAGGGCCCTGCCTGGAGTCTCAGGGCTAGAAAAGGAAGACCCAGGCTCCTGGGAGTCCCAGCCCTGTATTCTTCCCTCCAGGTCGAAGCCCCTGGGCCCCAAGGCAGGCTGGAACCACTTCTGGTTCTTTAAAAACCCTGATGTATCAAAGAAGAAAAAACACTTTGTGGTATATTTTAATCATTCATATTTAACAGACCATTGCTTTTAACATATACAAAATACAATACATAAAACTGTGACATTCAAAATGGATTACAGACTAAAACTGTATTAATTCATCATTCATGACAGGCCATGTGTTCTGCGAATGGAACAGAGACTTGAATTTATATAAGGAATGTTGTCTTCTTTCAATGCCTTCCTTGGTTCTTACTCTCTGTAAGATCTCGTGTACAGGGAACCCTTGAGTGCCTTGGTGAATGAGAAGCCACAACAGCCTTCTGGTGCCAGGCCCTGTTTATACTGACTAGAAGGAAAAAGACAAGTTGTACATCAGAATCATCTGGGGAGTTTTAAAACGTACTGAAGCCTATGCCCCACTCTCTAGATTCTGATTCAGTTGCCTAGAGTGGGATCCAGGCATCTTAATACTTTTTAGAGTTCCCTAAGTGATCCTAATGTAAAGCCATAACTGAAAGTAGGAGAGACTGAGAGAGGAATCCTTTAAAGTTTTATCAACTCATTTGCGGATATTTATTAAAAGACAGGGAATAGTTTAAAAAACAACAACAATAACAAAAAACAGATGAATAAATAGGAGCAAGGAAATTTCAATAAAAAGGCTCAGCAAGGACAGACGTGGTACTGCAGGGGCCCCCTGGGCCCCCAGCAGGCAGAGCACAAAGCACAGTGGAGGCCCAGTCATGGAGAGCAGTGCATCAAGTGTTTACACATTAGGGAGAGGGAAGGAATCCAAGAAAATCGTGAACAGTCTGTTAAAGTTTGTCAATTCAGTTTGCAAATATTACGTGGCAGCATCCTGACCAGGCAGTGCAAGAGGTCCCCAGGGTAGACAGAGAGGCAACAACCTCCGGGCCTCAACCTCTACGTTGCAGATGCCAGCATGAGTCAGAGGTAGCACCGTGGCAACCAGGCAGACACCGCCGCGCCGAGTGCGAGACAAGACCCTCAGGCCATGACCAGGGTGGCCCATCTACTGCTGAAATACAGGTGTGTGCACCCAGAACCATGGAAGTCAATTTTCTGTGTCAGACCTCTCGTCAGCTCTTGTACCTGGGGGCAGTGATGGAGTGGCCCCTAGGAACTTAAAATAAGAAAGAGTATTCTCTGAGAGTTGAGTTACAAAATCAATACTTAATAGAAGAGTCGTGCTAAGGAGAATGAATGGCTCTTGAATCAGCAAGATAGATTGTTAAGTTGTTAAGTAAGAATTCATCAGTCAAAAAGGATGGTCATCAGCCATGGAGGCTTAGGAAACAAGGAAGGCATTGATCCTGTGCTTGCTAAGTTCCACACTGGGGACACGGGCCCTGGTCAAGGGACTCGACCCAACTGTCCTCAGCCTCCACTGCCTCCATCCTAGTGTGGGCCCCCATCGTGTCTGGATTATCACATAGCCTCCTAACTGGTCTCTCTGCTTCTGCCTTGCCACGCTCAATGAGGGGCTAAAGTCACCCAGTCACAACATAAGGCAGATAGTGCTCTTTTCCACTCAGACCCTCCAAGGGCACCCTTCTTACTCAAAGTAAAAGCCAAAGTCCTCACAACAGCCTATATGTGGCCTTCTGCGACCTGGATTTCCTACCTCTAGGCTTCTTCTCCTCCTACTTAGCCCTACACCACCACTACCCCTACCCCCTACTCCCCATCCCCATCCCACACTGCCTCCCTGCTGTGCTCCAAACCTGGTAGGTGTGCTCCTGCCTTGGGGCCTTTGCACTTGCTGTCCATGTTCTGTAATGTTCTTCCCCTGAGTGTCCACGTGGCTCACTCTCAGGTCCTTCAGGTCTTTACACCAGGCTGGGAGGCCTGTCCCAACCACCTTATTTAAAGGAACAAATTCTCCTACCTCTCACTGCTCATACTCTCCAACCTATCCCAGTGTATTCTTCTATATGCCACTTCCATCCTCTAAATATCATATATTTCACAAGTACTTTTAGTTATTATGTCTCCCACAGTAGAGTGTCTATCTCTGAGGGCTGGGGTGTTGGTTGGTCTTGTTCACTGCTGTATTCCCAGTGCCTTAAACAATGTCTGGAAAACACGCATTCAGTAAATACTGTTGAACAAGTGAATGAGGGTCCAGGATATCTCTACTGTGCCAATGGCTTCATCCAGCTTTCGAAGGTAAGTGACTCAAATGTGTTGATGTTGGGGTAATTCCCTTTTTCACAGCAACTTTTTAATGATGATTTGGTTTCCCACAGGGTAAAGCAGGAAAGGATGTGCTAGTCAGAAGGCTTGTAGTCTGGTTCCATTCAAAGTTTTCATATTGAAGGAGTGAAAGAATCAGAGTGATGATATATGACTTTTCATCTCATTTGGAGCTTCAGTCTCTAAATGGCTCTGTTGGTGGTAAGTTCCTAGTCTTGACCTGTGACACCCCTTGGCCACTTGCTCAGAGGCCAGTTTTCCTGATTCCTGGAGCTCAGCTTGGAACTTTCAAACTGCCAGTTGTGTTTAGGGAGAACACACAGCAGCAACCTGGCACATATGGATTTGATAGTCAAATGACTGCCGACCACAGAGGGGTGGGTAGGGTGTAACCTGTGGTCCTGGTTCTGGGCATCGCTCTGAATGGGGCCGGCTGCACAGAAGCAGGCCCGCAGCTGGAATAAAGCAGGCACTTCAGCTAGCCCCACCAATCTCCTCCTATGGCCAATGCGTCCGTTCTCCTGGAACCAGGACACAGGTCTTTGTGGAGAACAGCCCTCCCGAGAAGGCCAGTCACTTGTGCTGGTGGTACAAACGCAGAGGGCTAGCATTTTGCCATTTTGTTTCTTTCATAAAATGCAATTTAGTGGGATTTGCAACCCTCGTGAGTCACAGAGGTCCTCTGTTCTCCAGGCACAGTTCTCCTGCATTTACGCCCCACGCCTCTCACGCTGCCGGGTCTTGGGGAGATGAGGACAGAGACAGCGCTGGTCCTCAGGCAGACTATCCCACCACCTCCTCTTCAGCTCAAGGGCATGTGCTTCTGTCCTCAAGTAGGTTGTAAAGTGATTAGTAATGAGAGCTATGGGGTCAGGTGACCCTGGAGTCAGATGACCTGGGTTCAGATCTCAGCTCTGCCTCTTTCTGGCTGTTGTGACAATCACGAATGTCAAGAGGCCCGTTTCTTTGTCTGTCAAAAGGTTTTGTAAGTGAGTTCCTTAGATAAAATAACATATGTAATGGTGGGTAATAGTACCATACCTAGAGCAGAATACACACTCGATGTGTAAGTGGTAGGAAAAAGAAATCAAAATCAGCTCAGGATCTAAGGGTGCTTAGTTGCTAAATGTCATCACAAAAGTGACAGTAGTGTAGAGAAGGGGCCAGACATAGGGGTTAGAGCATTGTTGGAAGACTTCACAGGGCAAGGAGGAAGACAAAAGAATAACTTGTACCAGAGAGCAACAGACTACGGTTTGGTCACACCTCTCTGTACAGTGCACTTTACATGGTCTTGTAACAGTACACTTCCTAATGCTGCTGGATTTCAGCATGGAATAACATGATGACGACTGATTTGGTCACCATTGTGAGTCCATTGTTTGCATGAGATTGTTCCTCCTATGCTTGGGCAATCTGTTTCCAGGTCTCAGAGGGTTTGGCACAGAGCTATTGCTCCAACCTCCTTTTTACTTTTTTTTTTTTGACTAGTCCCTTTGTCAATTTTAACATTTATCTTTCACTATTTTTATTTTTAAAATAGAAAATACATTCTTCAATGATTCAAAGATATAAAAAGGCATAACATAAAAATCTCCTTCCCATCCCTACCCCACAGCCACCCAGTTCTGAGACTCCAAAGCAAACAATGTTACCTTGTTACCTATTGTTTGCCTCTACTTTCAGAAATAATCTAGGCATATATAAGCAAATATAATTATCTTCTCTTTTACTCAAAGGGTAGCATATAAAATATTGTTCTGCCCTTTTCTTTTTGTCATGTAATTTTTGGCGGTGGGAGAATTCTGTATTGGTGTATGAAGTTTTTTTTTTTAGACTGACACCTATGGTTTTTAATCCTTCAGATAACTGTGTAATTTATCACAGGATTGCCTGTCACGATGGGTACCTAAAAAGTCAAAATTTCCTCCCATGGATTCTAGAATAGGTATTAAAAAGCACCATTTGTTCAGAACCTCCCCCCATCTTTTTCCCCCCAGAATTATAGGTTTTGCTTTCCCCATAGGTATTTTGGTTCAGATAAAGGACACAGCTCATGGACTTGGTTTCACACAGCTGCAGCCTTGTACTGAACATGCAACTGGCACCTCACTACTCCAGCTGGTTCAAAACAAGTTCACAACCTGAGGCCAGGGCATTAGAAAGTGATCAAAACTACAGACGCTGAACACCAACACATAAATTAAAACATCAAAGGTTTTAAGCTGAATCTAATTTACTAAATCCTAAACTATACTCCAATTTTTAAAAAAGATTTTTCTCCCTAAGGGAACCATTTCAATCAAAACCTAAAACTTTGCATTTTCTAAAACTGTTAGGTTTAACAAAAGCAGAACCACTGTGTTGTCTAATCAAACTTGGTCTATACCGATGTTTTATTTGATTCAGAACATGGTTGCTCACAAAGCCATTCAGAGGCATTAAATTCAGCTTCCCAGAGTGAAGGCAATGATTGTCATTTAGAAATGTGTTGCATGGCATGAGATCAGGGCTGTGTGCTGCCTCTCTTTGTCCTAGGCCTCAAGTACATATTTTTATAAGGTGTGAAAACAGCAGATGTCAATAAAATCATGATTAATTTGGTGAACAAAAACAGAATTCTGAGCTGTCTTCTTCAGATATTCTGGTTTGAACTAGAGGGCAGCCTCCCAAACATACTGGTATTTAGCACTTCAAGACCAAGCAGGGAGCCTTACAGCACAGGGCTCTGGAGAGCTGAGCCCCTACCCACCCTAGCAGGAGTTTGGTGAGTCTGAGAAGCAGGGAATTAGGCTTTTAGGCAGAATATGCAAGGATGCTGTGCAAGGGTTCTGGGATTCTGGAGGGGAGTTTGGACCAGAGGCCAGGTTGGATGGAGGAGTTGGTAAAGGAAGGTGCAAGGTGAGACAGCCACGGCTGACAGCAGTGTGGATTCTTTACAGCTGATCTGAAGTTCTTATTATTTAAACTCTTCATCTCATCCCTTCTCACATAATCACAGATGATCTTTATCGTTCTCACTCTTGCCATGCATTGGGCTCAGGGCTTTTCCTGTGTCATTCAGTTCTCGCAGTATTTCTGTGAAGACGATACTCTGTCCCATTACAGATAGAAAACTGGCTCAGAGAGCTTGAGTGACCAGCTCAAGGTCACACAATGTTTGGGAACATTGCTATCTTTTACTAAGTACCTACTTCTGGAATTTGTATCACTTCCTATGGTTGTTATTTAGAAGGGAATACTGCCAAATGGTTAAGGACTATACATACTGGTTAATCTAATATTCTCAATAAGTCAATAAAATCTAAGTTGGCCTAGCATACAACTGAGGAAACTGAGGCTCACAGATGGGCTGGTGAGTTGCCTGAGGTCACTCAGAGTAGAGAAGCTAGGGTGTGACCCCTGGCTCCAATGCGGTGCCTTTCTCACTGATGTGCTGGGTCAGCTTCCCCACTATGCTCCCAGAGAAGTCCAACAACTCAGCAGCTATTAAGCCCTGAGAGCCATTTCCTGGAGTGACTGAAAACTTAAAGCACTAGAAAAATAAAATCTGGTGCATGTGGCCACTTCAAACTTAGGAATCATTTCCAGGTATAACATACATCTTGTGTGTTTCTAAGCCCTTTTAAGGCAACTTCATGGACTTTGGGTACAAGCTCACCCAAGGAAGCTGAACTGTCCTTTAATAAAACAAGCCACTTTTAGAAGTTCCATCTCGGTCACCAGCATGATGGGATTGGGACATCCTCGGAATCAGGGCCAAGTAGGAAGAACTCGTCATCCCTAGAAAGGCTTTAGCCGTCACCCAATCCCAGATTCACAGGCCATCAGCTCAGAGGCCTGGGGCAGAGGCAGATCCTCAGCTGGGTCTTTCCAGGTCCCTGCCCCCAGTGCCCTAGCATAGCACCCTTCTGTACTCTGCCCAGAAGTCTACTCACCACTTCTCAAACTCACCAGAGCTTACTGCGTGAGGAATTCTCTTGCTTCTACATGTGACCAAGGGGAGCTTGTCACGGGTAACTCTGACCCTGACCAAGTGAAATTAAACATTTAACTTGACATTAGTTCCTATGGTTTCCTTTCTACCCTCACACACCCTTTAAAAGAACCTCTCCTCTCAGCACCCTCACCACCACCCTGTCCAGGCCACAGCTGATGTGTCCAGTTTGGTCAGGTGTCCACCACTGGCCCAAGGAAATCTGTGACTACAAGATGGCTTGGTTGTTTTAGATGTATTAGAAGATGCAGAAAAAGCCAAGCCATAGGAAGAAAAATAAATAAAATGGACCCATAAAGAAGAGAAATTGACAGATTACAAAGCCCCACATAGAGGGCAAGCTTACTTCTAGATGGGACTTTTGGCCACGTGTGGGAGTCACCAGTCCCTGTACCCATCCATGACCCTTTCCATTTCAAATTAGGCTAGTTTGAGCTGGCCTGTTTCTGGCAACCAACAGTGATGGTCCCCAACAGAGACAGTGTGTGAAGTACTTTATTTAAAGTACCTACTATGTGTCAGGTGCTGGACTCATGGTATCTATTATTTCAAAACATCTCACTCACAATTTACTGCTATATGCTTAATAGTTACTGAAGTTAGTAACAGAAGCAGGTACTCAGTGGGACCACCCAAATGGTTTATGGTTTTAAATCAAACTTACTACAGAGTTTTGTGAACAATTTATACAGCAACTGCAGATGGAAGCTTAAGACAGTCAACACACGCTTCTATTTTTCTGTTTAAGTCTTTCACAGTAAATAAATGCCTCCTTGACTACTGGAGAATAAATAATTATAATATTCCATTGAAGTTGAGAAATATAGCAACCTTTGTTAATTTTTTAAAGATAAACATGGCTGATCTGCACTAATCATAACATTTTGAAGGAAATGAAACAATATTCAACATTTTTAGTCTATAAATAAATAGTACCCTGTTTTACCTATTCTGTTAGCCAAAGATAAGGTTGGAAATGAGAAAACTGGATAATGCTTGTGGATTTAAAAGAATCATACACAGTATTTGATTCTGAGGAAATGAAGGCATAGTCAATGAACTTAGTAAAGAATGACATTAAAGGTTTATACATAAACTTTACATGCTTGACTTGAGAGACTAAAATATTTTTCAAGTCCTTAATGGTGAGAACAGCAGCAAAA